CTTGATCCAGCTCTGCTTCCAGCTTTTGTTTGTTTCCTCTTAGTGACAGGAAATATCTTCCAAATCTGAGATTCTTTCTTCTGCTTCCTTCATTCTATTTTTCAGACTCTCTGTATTTTTCATTTTCTTGACTGCATTTTTCATTTCTGATATATATCAGCTTTCATTTGATTCATTTCCTGTGTGACATGTTCCTGAAATTCACTGAACTCCTGTATTACGTGCTTCTTGTTAAGAAATTTTATAACAAGTGTTTTGAATTCTGTATCCCCCACTTTCTGGATATCTTCACCAGTGAACTTTGAGTTTGGCAAAGGCTTTTGCTCCTTTGCAAAGGAGTCTTCAGTAATATTCATTGTGCCTTTGTCTCTTCTTTTGCTCTTGGTCATTGTACCTCTGGCTATCAGATTCTTCTCCTTGGGACTGGTTTCTAAACTGTGTCACCCACAGGTCTACAGTTCAATTTTACTTATTGCAGTTGGCACACGGCTCTTTGTTTGCAGTCACTTGTGCCACTCCCTCCAGCAAGTTCCAGATCTGGGTTCTTATGTTAGATTTCCACCATGGTTTCTATAGCCCCAGCTCTGGCTCACCAGTGTCCATCTCCTTTGATACCATGTTGAGGCTGCACCATTGTCTGTTCAAACTTTCCCCCTCTTCTGGTTGGAGCAGGTCCCAGGATTAGGGAGACACCAGGTGTCCTATATAATTAAAGATTTATTTTTATTATATATTTTTTAAATTGGAAAGGCGGATATACAGAGAGGAGAGACAGAGAGGAAGATCTTCCATCCGATGATTCACTCCCCAAGTGAGCGCAACAGGCCGATACTATGCCAATCCGAAGCCAGGAGCCTCTTCCGGGTCTCCCACGCGGGTGCAGGTTCCCAAAGCTTTGGGCCGTCCTCGACTGCTTTCCCAGGCCACAGGCAGGGAGCTGGAAGGGAAGCAGGGCTGCCAGGATTAGAACCAGCGCCCATATGGGATCCCGGGCGTGCAAGGCGAGGACCTTTAACCACTTGCACCACGGCGTCGGGCCCCTATATAATTAATTGTTGCTGGTGCTGATCTTGCTGGAACCTCTTGGCTGTTAGGTCTGAAGGCCACATGGACCTATTTTGACCTGTACAATGCCAAAGTTGGTATTATTTTCCAAGTGGGACCAGTGCAATGAACTGAGCTCAGTGAGTTCACTCCCAGCTCAGTGCATGCGCACCTCACTATTGTCCCCTGCAGTCTTAAAGTTTTTCCACACTACAAAATGGCACCTGATGTACCACTACTAGAGTTCTTAATCTTCTGGCCATCAGGTCTGAGGGCTACCTGGACCTATGTTGGATAGAACCTGGAGGATGCCTCGCTGTTGCAGTTCACTGAGTCAGAAATGAGTTCACTCCCAGCTCAGTGCATTTGTAGTACTGTGCCATAGCCCTTGCCTCCTTAAACAAAAGGGCACCCAATTTGGCTCTAGGAGGCAGACTGGGCTGTGAAATCCACCCTATTCCCACGCTGCCTGTCTGGCACCTGCCATTCTGTCTCTGCTCCTGGTCAAACCAAACAGATCAGCAGGGCAGGGCAGTCCTTGGTCTGGGTTCACCTCTGGAGCTCCTGGTAAATGTTCCTTCCCACCTGGTTGCTGGTGGAGTTCTGGCTGCCGGTGGAGTTCAGATCGCCACCCGCTGAATGCTGCTGAGGTATCCATCATTGTAATACCACACCGTTGTATCAGCTACTTTCCAGTGTCTGTCAGTCTCCAGGTACCCCTCTGCTGTCATTCTATCCTCTATTTCCTGCGATGTGCCCTCTGTGCATCACACTGGCTAATATTTCTGTCTGTTTAAACGTGTCCTTACCGTATTCCACCATCTTGATTCTCCCTCTCACATTTTTAAAATGGACCAGAGATGCATCAAGGCATCTAATTCTTTTTTCTTCAAAGTGTGTCTTTGCAGATACACACTCACAACTAGGGATGGTGAAGAAATGACACAACTCTAGAAGGAAAAGCAGGTACCATGCAGATACCATGTTGTGGTCTTTTCCTCTGCGGCTCTCTCTCTGAAGACCACATGTGAAATAAGTTCAACAACTCTCACTTTAGACAGCAACAACAAAAAGGAGAGTGGAGTGAAAACAGGTATTTCAATTCAAATATGGGGACTGCCTTCCCCAGCCTTTCAAAGCACACACATCTACAGGAGTCCCTCAGCAGACAGGAAGCTCTGTCGATTCAGGAATGGGGATGGAGGTATCTTTTTAAAGCTTGTTCGTAACTCACAATTTCTAAAACAGGATGCTCTTACCTTGGTCCTATTCAGTTGCACTGTTCCAGTAAAATGTCTCAAATCCATCCTTGATGATTACTCAGGGGAAAAAAAAAAAAAACCCAAAAACTTCAGCAATTCTTTGGTTCTCAAAGTTGGGCGTGCCCTTGGATTTTGCAGACAACAAAAAACACCCAGAACAGAGCAACTGTGCTGGCAAGCAGAGAGCTGTGTTTAAGAAATCCAACACTGCCACCTAGAGGCCAAACGCTAAGGACCAGGCCCCACACACAGCTTAGACCAGATAGCAGTGGCTTCCAACACCCAACAGCAACCCTGCCTTCAAAGTTGAGAAGACAGGCACTGGAAATAGCCATGGCTTTTCCCTCAACATTCATATAGACAAAATGCTACACAACAGCTGCACAGGCCTCTCCCCTCTCACTATCTTCAAAGACAGTGCCAGACTAAGAAGTCATGGACTGAAGGAAGCAGTCTGACACCTGGAAGAAGGTGGTGTAAAAATCACAATCCCAGTGCCACAGAGCACAGCTGTGTCTCTCAACACTGCATGCTGCTTCAAAGAGCATTGCTGGAGGGTCACACAGTCTATAATGCGGATATAACCAAGGTAAGCACGCGTCTCTGGAGGCAACTCTCACAGCCTTTAGTATGTCACGGCACAGGGCAAGTCTCCACAGCGACTGCGGATCACACATTCCTGAAACTTAACTCTAGATCCTTTTTCTGCCAAACATATCACACAGGCAGACACTCTCTTCCCCACGGAGGAATCAAAATCAAGTGATGGAATGAGGAGGCGGGCTTGGCCATGAAAACGCACGGATTCCAATGCTAACTCCAGGGGCACGTCTCTTAGAAGTGCAGTGCCTGCCTGGCAATGCCAAGACTGCAGGAGGTAATACACATCCCTGTCACCTGTCATTTATGCGCAGAATTTCCTTGTCTCATGGACAGCAGTCCTACTAAGGGAAGCTGCTATCAGCGAGCACTCTAACACAGGCCACGTTCCCTGGTTCCTGTGTTCCTAGGACTCCTGAGGCCTTGAAGTCCCAATCTCTGTGGCAACACTGGCAGAGCTTCCAGAATGTGCAAAACAAACATGAGCACAGAGAAGCTCAGGAGTACACAAACCTCACACAGAGCTTTTTCCCCAAAGTGTGCAGCAAGCCTAGTGTTCTCACTACAAGCGCAGAACTCAAACGGAGAAGGTGAATTAATACAACTCATGAACTGCTCCAGCATCCTATCCCGAAGACACCATTCTATCCATGCTGCTCAGTGTGCAATCACAGGCTGGCAGAGAGCTTCAGTTTGTGCAAATGGAATCAAAAGGTTTTTACTTTTTTTGTCTGAATGGCAAAGTTCGCAGTGAGAACAAGATCTTCCATCCACTGGTTCTGTCCAGGTCACCACAATGACGGGCTGCACCAAGCGAGGGTTCTGGAATTACAGCCATGACAGCAGTGAGCCACCTGCTGGACAGTTGGCCTCAACTCTCCATGACGTGACCGAGACATCCAACAGGACTCCAGGCGGAGCTCACAGTTGCTGACCGCTCTTGCATTTCATTTTTACCAAGTTGTCTGCGTTCACATCCACCCCACTCCTATTCCACTGCTTTTCATTGGCCTTTCTGAACACTCCGAGTATATCCCTCCCCGTGTGGGGAGAGGCCTTGTCCTGAATCAGCCAGGTCTTCATGGCCCTGACGGCAACTAAGGCTGGAGGCCATGTGGGCAGTCCGTCCCAAAGTACAAGCCCCACTTCACTGTTAGGCTGGCTGTACTGGCTGACCTAGGATAGTGCTGGCCGACCTGGGACACAGGGCTGGCCGGCCTGGGACATGGCTGGCCGGCCTGGGACACGGCTGGCTGGCCTAGGGCAGAGCTGGGACAGCAGGGCTGGCCGACCTGGGACACGGCTGGCTGGCCTAGGGCAGAGCTGGGACAGCAGGGCTGGCCGACCTGGGACATGGCTGGCCAGCCCGGGACAAACTGGCTGTAGCACCCTTCCTCAGGCCCCACCGGTAACAGCACACTTAACAGCAGCCTGGTGGGGAGGGGTTCATCTGGCCACCTTACCCTAACCTTTAAAACCCTCCTCGCTGTCCTCGCTCTACCATCTGGAAGAGGATATAGGATTAGAAGCACACCAGTCAGAGCTTTTTTCAAACTGGACTGTTTCAGACATTTGCATCTTAAAGTCTGTTTTGCAGACTGTTTCAGTAATTTCCATTTAAAGTTGGCTGCCTAAAGTAGTCCAACTGTAAAACTCAGGACGGCTCCCCAAGCACCCCCCCTCCCTCCGGAAGGTACACTTGCTCAGACCCACTCTGACTCTGCCAGTTCAGACACCCATGCTGACTGAGCGGGTGTTTCCGGCTCAGGAATGAGAGGATCTTGGGATCGACCACTGCACAGTGCTCCCCTGCGGCCTCCTCACTCCTTCCTCACATGACACAGAGCATCCCTGGAGCTGGTCCCACATGGAACCTGCTAACGTGCCATCCATCAAAAACGCTTTTCACCTGGGCCCACACCCTTGCCCTGAAACACAAATGGGCCCAGGGACACACCTGGCCATGAACTTCCCCATCAAGGCAGTCATCTGAGACGGAAGGAGCACTGTACTAGGTCACAGAAGGAGAGTAAAATATGGAAGAGCCCCACGTGCCCTCCCCTGACACAGCAGGCATGTGGGAAGACTGATTTCGGAGTAAATACATTTATTGATACCCATTTCATATATAGTTCAATGAAATCATCTATAAATATAAAAGCACTTTTCTTTTGGATATCACCGTGGTCCATGTAAATACTCAACAGTCAGAGTCGTCTGCGGGAAGCTCTCCAAGTCACACTGTTAGGGCTATAGACCTGAATAGATGCATTGCATTCAACAGTGGCACTTCTGTACTCAAGTGGTCCAGTGGCTTTGGAATAGAGGACTACTGGGCATGTGGAATCAAAACAATGTGTGAGCTGAAACCGACAGGAAGGGTATCAACCACCAACATAAGACACGACTAATGAATCAACAGCCTAGGCACAGGGAGCAGGTGATGCCGGACAGCGGGGAGAGGACTGCAGACAGCACACCCTGTGGCTGCCACAAGTGCGCTCCACTCCCAAGGGCCAATTCATCAGTGCCCTGGGGTCACTTGCGGTCAACAAACAGCAACTGGTAAAGAATCTAGGTTGGTTAGAAGGTCCGTAGCGGCCGATATCTAGATGAAAGAAAAGGGAGTTAAACCTTCCAGAGACGTGAGTTCCTCCCTGGAAGAGGATTCTGGGAAACACAAAATTTATCTTCAATTCCTTTGTGACACTGAGCATGATCATTTATGTAATGAGGGGAAGACCCTGGACAGCTGGTACCCCCGCCACAGGTGCAAAAGTTTTCTTCCGCCGCCGAGGCCTCCCCCGGCACTTCCAAGGGCACAGCTGCAGCTGCGGCCACCGAGCCCTGCTCTCCGCCCACTGCCACCACCGCGGGCAGCTCCATCTCCAGTCTGCAGCAACACACCAACAATGTTCTTGGCTGCAATCTCTGTCTTCTGAGTCAGCAAAACAGATGCCATTTCAAAGGTCTGAAATGTGCAATGTCCAGAATTCAAATCTGAGAGGCAGTGTTAGAACTTAAGCAAGGCAGAATTTTTAGACTACTCAAATGAAAGCCTACGTGAAGCATATAAAAAACTCAGTCTGTTGCTATTATTTTTAACTGGAATTGATGGCAACATCCCTGGTAAGGATGGGGAACATCTCCAGGTCCAACCTGCCCCACTGCTTACAGCAGTACCCAAGGAGGGCCAAGCCACACGTGAGTTCTGGGTCTCTGGGATTCTCGGTTGCCATGTGTCCAAGAGGAAACGGGCGCTCCGGTTGTACCCCATGGGTTGGAGAGATTTCATCCAAATGAGAAACTCAACCCAGGGTCTCTATGAGACAGGCTCCCGATTCCCAGCAGCGGCAGCCCCCGCCCACAGCGGCAGTGGCTGACCCTGGAACACAGAGGCAGCGGCCCTCGGCTGCAGACTAGATGGCGTTGCGTGGCGTGCCATTGTGCGTCAGCGCTTTCAGGCTGGGCGCGCTGCTCAGGTGCCCACAGCCCCGGTGGGAAGCCACGCCCACCTCGAACACCTCGTGAATAGCTTTCCGGAAACAGTGGAAATTGTAGTCTATTAAACCTGCAAGAGAGAAAAAAGATAACCACACCTCCTGAGTGTCATGTGTGAAATTATCCACTAGGAAAAGAAGCAGGCACTGCAAAGTATCCATCCATCCAACAGGATGGAGCACAACAGCCCAGGGACTGACACCTTGGCTGTTTAGAGGTAGGGGTTGGGGAGAGGCTCGGGCATAAGGAATAAGTACGGCCACCAGGAAAGTCTGCACACCAAAAGACAGTAAAATCTGAGGTCCAAGTCAGTGCGCCTTGCAGGAGTCTTTGGGGCAGCCAAGAGCTGAGGGAGACACCAGAGTCCAGTCTACAAGCTGTCAGGGCAGCGCCATGGCAATGCCAGAGCTCACACAGCTGGCTTCCTCTGCACCCATATGGGCCTTAGAACTGATTGAACAAAGGCTTCAAACTGTGATGGAAACCGCTAGTTGCAGAGGCTGGCACTGTGGCACAACGGATTAAGGCACTGCCTGCAACGGCAGCATCCCATGTGAGTACCAGTTCAAATCCAAAATGCTCCACTTCGTTCCAGCTCCCTGCTGCTGCAGCTGCTTTGCCCAGTGCTTGGGGCCCTGCAGCCACAGCGGAGACCCAGGTGGAGTTTCAGGCTCTGGACTTCAGCCCAGACCAGAGATCTGGGAGTGAACCAGAGAATGAAAAATCTTTTTCTCTGTCTTTCAAATAAATAATATGTAAATCCTTTAAAAACAGAGAAAAGAAATGGTCAGTTGCTACCAGAAAGCCACTTCCTGCTCCTCCTCAGAACCCCAATCCTGCATGAGCACACTGGTGCCGAGTCAAAACATTAACTTCCCAGCCTCCCTTGCAGCTAGGTACGGCCACAGGTCCAATCGTGTCCATTGAGACCCTGGCTGTTCCTGCAGCCTGTCTAAAGCAGAGAAGATGGCTGGAACTCCAGAAGCCACTTCTGACCATGAGGTAATCCTGAGGCAGTGCTAAGAACAGCAGAGCAGGAACACTAGTGCCACTGAGCCAGAGGATACAGGAAGCTGTCCTAACCCGTGCACCTCCAGCCCACCTTCAAGTGAGAGGAACAGCCTTCCCAACAATGACGGATAAACATGACTGGGAAACCTTAAATTTCTAACCCACATAGCAAGTTGCTAGGTAACAAGAACACCTGAGCCATCCCAGCAGTTACTGAGCAGCCCGAGAAGGCACAAAGTGGTAGCGGTGGCAGCACAGCCTGGGCCTCCAAGGACACGCCGGCCAGGGCACACAGCCAGCGGCACACACAACACCAGTCTAAACAGTTTGCTGTTAGGTTGACTACAGATGTGAACCAAATGCAAAGAAGGGAGAGGCGTCGCTGAAAACACCAGAGAGGAGGCAGGATCTAACTAGGCAGCAAAGCAGGAACAAAACTACAGGAGCACTTGAGGAAGCCAGCGAGGCACAGCACACGAGGGAGACAGGTCAGCAACAGGTCTGACTGAAGAGGGGATACTGGAGTACTCCTGGGGGGACATGCTGGGGATCAGGGCTGAGTAAGCAGATCAGAACCAAACTAACGGGGTCCCTTAGACGCTGGAGAGAAAACAAACTAGAAAACTCAACTTCCAGAGCCAGTTTCGTGTACAGCGTGCAAAGCTGCCACCCACAACAATGGCCTCCTATGCGAGTGCTAGTTTATGTCCAAGCTGTTTCACTTCTGATCTAGTTCCCTGCAAATACCCTGGGAAAAGCAGCCAGAGTTGGGGGCTAAGTGTTTGGGCCTTTTCCACCCATGTGGGAGACCCAAATGAAGCTCCTGGCTTCACCAGGCCATCTGAGGAATCAATCAACAAATAGAAGATCTCCCTCAACCTCTCTCTCTGTAACTATGTCTTTCAAATAAACCTCTTTCTAAAATCTGACTTCTGGGCCAGGCGTTGGGCGTGGCAGTTAGGACTTGCCAGTCATCCCATGTCAGAATACTCGGGCTCAAGCTCCACTTCAGATTCCAGCTTCCTGCTGACGCACACCCTAAGAGGAGGCATATGGTGGTAGCTTGAGCACTTAGGTCCTTGCTACCCGGATGGAGCTCCAGGCTTCAGCACGGGCCAACCCTGGCTGTCGCAGGCATTACAGAAGTGAAATGTCAAATGCCGGATCTCTGTCTAATCAAACAGTCAAACAGCATCCAGCACCGGGACGACAGAAGGTGGTGAAGAACTCCAACACACTCCCCAGGGCTGGCCGCAGAAAAGCCACTTTGGAGAGCAGTTTGGAGAGCAGTCTGGCAATATGGAATAAAGCTGAAGTGGCATGGACTCTATAAATTCCACTCCTAAATACAGACCCTATAGCAGGTCTCTGCAAATGCAAACTAGTGCATCAGCCTCCGGTGCAGAACCACATATGACCTTTAAAGTAATCCAGATGCCCAGCGATATGAAAATAAACTGTGACACAGTCAACTCACAGAATAAAATATGGCAATGAAAATGAGTTATGTGTTGTCAACCTGGTTAAATCTTAAAAACTGTGCCCAGAAACAAACAAGCTGAACAAAATTACTATTTTTAAGTCACTTACACAAAAATGTTCAATATTCTGAATTGTTTAGGTATGAATATGGAATAAATGAATAAATCATACAATGGAAAAATAAAACAACATGTACAAGGGGAGGGAGTTGAGCTAAGAGAATCCATGGAGGACTTCAACTGCTATGTCACATCTTAATTCTTAAGCTTAAAGGAAAATGTATGAGTTCACAGGAAAATACAATTACAACATAAAGCAGCGAGTTTCACTGCCATCCCAGCTCCCGATTCCTCTGCAAGGCAGCGGCGGCCAGCTCAAGCAGCCGGGTCCCTGGGACTCAAGTCCAACACCTGCACCTGCTCACAGCTCCCAGTTCTGGCCCCGGCCCAGTCCACCTTCAGCTGTTTGAGACCTTGGGGTAGCATATCAATGAACAAGAGCTTTCTCTATCCCTGTCTTTGCCTTTCAAAATTTTCTAGTTAAAATTGTAATACGTGTGTGTGCGGGCATGCATGCATGCATATGGCATGCATTTCCATGAACTTTTTGAAGTATGTATATGAAGAATATGCATGCATTCTTATCTTTAAAAAACTGTCACTAAATGAACCATTTCATTAAAAGCAGAGGCAGAAGAGGGGGACACATTACAGTGAGCAACAGAGAGTTCCTGCAGATAAAAGAAGTTTTCTGAAAATGAGTCTGCTTTGGGGTAAAAGATGACACACACTAGATCTTCAGTACATACACCAAATGAGTGCATATTACCAAGCAGGTGGTCGCACCAGTGCCACAGGCCCACAGGGATGAGGAGCTGAGCTGCAGCCACCGACAGTGGGAAGAACAAGGAAATCCAAGAATCAGTTCCAAGGAACAAAGGAAAAGCCATGTGCACAACATGAAAGAGCAAAGAAGGAGGGAAAATGCGCAGCCCCTCTACGAGCAGCTCTGTAACAGTCCCTCAGACACAGGCACCACAGCTCCCTGGACCTGAGCAAAGCGGCCTAAGAGGCAGGAGGGAGGCCATGCCCCAAGAGGGACGGGGAAACCATCACCAGTCAAGGCCCAACACCACAGCCAAGACAGGAACTAAAAGCTTCAGTGAAGACTGTCTAAACAGAAAGAGCTAGAAACATAGGACGGGGACCGTGAGTCCACATCAGGGCTGGAGACAAGAACCTTCCTACCAATCCCGTCCAGAAGATCCACTGAAGCCTCAGACGGGGGGGGCTTCAGTGGAGAACAAGCAAAGGTGCCAGCCGACTTGGAACTCACAGCCCAGAGGGGAAGCTGAGGCAGCCAGAGGGGAACCAATTCTGAGAAGGAGGGAATGACGGGATTCTGGGATCCCGTGCATCGTAAGGCTAACAAGGTTGCAGACTGAGAAACAACCCCAGGGTGCAGCAAGGGGGCAGCAGGAAGGGATGGGGAGGGGACCCACTTAGGACAGCGGTGCAGGTGACAAAAAAGATGCAGAGCTGGAGATGCTGCAGTAAAACACTTAGACAAGCTACCCGAAGAAGGGAGACACAGAGTCCCAACTCTCCATGGAAGGGGGCACAAAAGTAATTTGAGAAGATTCTTTCCTCAAGACAACCATTCATCCACCATTGCAACAGGACTTTCTCCTATCTCCAGTAACTCCCATTAAGACAAAGAACTCAACATAAAAACACTTTTTCAGATGTCATTACCTTTTCGTTCAAAGCTTTCTTCCCTAAGAATGCAAACCAGTGCCAAAAACTTCGTCACCTCCTTTAGATAAAGGACAGTTGTGTTATTCAGCTTGATGATTGCCATGGATTCTTTGTCATACGCACTCCCACTTCCATCTTCTTTTAACCTGTTTCAAAAGAAAGAGCTGTTCGTTACAGGTTTCCCAACTCGGCTTTCTGTCACTTTCAATTTGCACAATGACAAGTCTTACCACCCAGTTTCCTGAGTGTCTTTGGAGAAATCTGAACACTGGCTTAAATCCATCAGAACAGTTGTGGCCCGGCATCCAGTTCCCAAACACGGGCTTCCCACGGGTTCCCACCAGAAGCACCGCTATGGAGAGCACAGGGACAACACGGGCAGATTTTGACCTGAGAAACACCACCAAGGCAACAGCCAGGCCTCAGCCTGCAGCTTCCCAGGCCAAATGAAGACCCTCCTCTGTCTCCCCCAGGTTAAGGGGCCCCTCCGGCACTCCCACCACCAAACTGAATACATCCTTCAGGGAATGTTCTACAGGGGAGGACAAACACACGTCTTCTCAAAATACCTTTTTTCCCCCTTCATTTCAAAAGCACACAAGAACAGCTAGAAGCCTGTGGCAACTGCTGAAATTAACAATTAATAATGAGGTTAGTGTTCTGACACTCCACTCTGATGTGCACGCTTAATAAAAGTCTAAGAACTACCTAATTTCCTTCTATGAACTATTTATTTATTTGAAGTCAGAGTTACAGAGAGAGAGGGTAGACACACACAGAGATCTTCCATCTGCTAGTTTACTCCACAGATGGCCACAAGCACCAGGGCTGAGCCAAAGAGAAGTTAGGAGCCAAGAGCTCCATTCAGGTCTTCCAAGGGGAGGCACTGCTTTTCCCAGGCCATTAGCAAGGAGCTGACCAGAAGTGGTGCAGCTGAGACACAAGCTAGTGACCATATGGGATGCTGACATTACAGGCAGTGGATTAACATACTAGGCCACAACACTAGCTCCAGGGTTGTTTAATTCTTACTAGGAATTAAAAATTGTCAAACTAGGGATTGTTGACAGTGTGTAAAGCATTAAGCTGCCATTGCAACACTGGCATTCCAGCTGCTCTACCTGAACCCAAATGAGGTCCTGGAGGAAGCTCCTGGCTTCCAGCTTTAGAATGGCCCAGAAACCACTGAGGTCACACGGGAAATCAACCAGTGGGTGGAAGAACAGCCTTTTCTTTTTTTCTCTTTCTCCCTCTGTAACTCTTCCAAATAAACAAATCTTTTAAAATAACAACAAAAGAACTATCAAAATTATTGTCTTTTTAGATTTATTTTTTTTTATTATTTTTTCATTGGAAAGGCGGAGAGACAGAGAGGAAGATCTTCCGTCTGGGGCCTGGCGCGGTGGCGCAAGTGGTTAAAGGTCCTCGCCTCGCACGCCCGGGATCCCATGTGGGCGCCGGTTCTAATCCCGGCAGCCCCGCTTCCCTTCCAGCTCCCTGCCTGTGGCCTGGGAAAGCAGTCGAGGACAGCCCAAAGCTTTGGGAACCTGCACCCGCGTGGGAGACCCTGAAGAGGCTCCTGGCTTCGGATCGGCATAGTATCGACCCGTTGCGCTCACTTGGGGAGTGAATCATCGGACGGAAGATCTTCCTCTCTGTCTCTCCTCTCTGTATATCCGCCTTTCCAATGAAAAAAATAATAAAAATAAATCTTTAAAAAAAAAAAAAAAAAAAAAAAGATCTTCCGTCTGATGATTCACTCCCCAAGTGAGCGCAACGGGCCAATACTATGCCGATCCGAAGCCAGGAGCCTCTTCCGGGTCTCCCACGCGGGTGCAGGTTCCCAAAGCTTTGGGCCGTCCTCGACTGCTTTTCCCAGGCCACAGGCAGGGAGCTGGAAGGGAAGCGGGGCTGCCGGGATTAGAACCGGCGCCCATATGGGATCCCGGGCATGCAAGGCGAGGACCTTTAACCACTTGCGCCACCGCGCCAGGCCCAAAATTATTGTCTTTTAAAAAATATTTACTGGGCCCAGCGGGATAGTTCAGTGGCTACGTCCTCACCTTGCATGCACCAGGATCCCATATGGGTGCCAGATTATGTCCCGGCTGCTCTGCTTCCCATCCAGCTCCCTGCTTGTGGCCTGGAAAAGCAGTCGAGGACGGCCCAAAGCCTTGGGACCCTACAACCTGTGTGGTAGGTAGATCTGGAAGAAGCTCCTGACTCTTAGTTTTGGATCAGCTCAGCTCTGGCCACTGCAACCACTTGGAGAGTGAACCAGTGGATGGAAGATCTTTCTCCCTGTCTTTCCTTCTCTCTGTAAATCTGTCCTTCCAATGAAAATAAATGTTCTTTAAAAAAACAACAACAGCAATTGCCTGGCATGATAGCCTAGTGGCTACAGTCATCACCTTTGCGCCAGAATCCCATGTGGCCACTAGTTCATATCCCGGCTCCTCCTCTTCCCATCCAGCTCCCTGCACATGGCCTGGGAAAGCAGTTGAGGACAGCCCAAAGTGTTGGGACCCTGTACCCCATGGGAGACCCAGAAGAAACTCCTGGCTCCTGCCTTTGGATCGGCTCAGCTCTGACCATTGCAGCTGCTTGGGGAGTGAACCAGGGGTTGGAAGATCTTTATCTCTGTCTCTCCTCCTCTCTATAAATCTGACTTTCCAGTAAAAACTAAACAAACCTTTAAAAATAGCATTTACATTCAATTAAAAAGAAAAGAAAGAAAGAAAGAAAGAAAGAAAGAAAGAAAGAAAGAAAGAAAGAAAGAAAGAAAGAAAGAAAGAAAGAAGTAAAGAAAGAGCAGATATTTTCCCCTGAAGTTAAAATAACCCAGACACCAGTACCCAGGTTGGATTCCGGCTTCCGATAATACAGACCAGAAAGGCGGAGTAATGGCTTGAGTCACTGGGCTCCTACTATCTGTGTGGGAGACCCAGGCTGAATTCCTGCCTCTGCCCCAGCCCCAGCCCCTACCCCTGCCCCAGCCCCAGCCCCAGCCCCAGCCCCTGCCCCAGCCCCTGCCCCAGCCCCTGCCCCAGCCACAGCCCCTGCCCCAGACCCTGCCCCAGCCCCTGCCCCAGCCCCAGCCCCAGCCCCTGCCCCAGCCCCTGCCCCAGCCCCTGCACCAGCCCCAGCCACTGCAGGCTTTTAGGAAATGAATTAGCAGACAAAAATTTAATACCCTTTATCTCTCAAATTTTACCAAATTCTAAAAACAATTAAAGCAAAGAAGTGTTTTAAAAATTCACAGAGGGCCCAGCAGTGGCCTAGTGGCTCAAGTCCTCACACTGGGATCCCAAAGAGGTGCTGGTTCTAATCCTGGCAGCCCCGCTTCCCATCCAGCTCCCTGCTTGTGGCCTGGGAAAGCAGTCGAGGACGACCCAAAGCCTTGGGACCCTGCACCCGCGTGGGAGACCCAGAAGAGGCTCCTGGCTCCTGGCTTCAAATTGGCTCAGCTCTAGCCACTACAGCTGTTTGGGGAGTGAATCATCAGACGGAGGATCTTTCTCTCTGTCTCTTCTCCTCTCTGTATATCTGACTTTCCAATAAAAATAAATCTTTACAGAAATTCACAAAAAAATACATATTATGAAAAACTGTGAATCTCAAAACTGTTTTGACACCAAGGTAAACTTCCAATTTAATTTTTCCACAATATTTTAGAATACCTCATATACTAAAAGGAAAATGGCAGCAGATGTCTTTGCTAAAACAATGCATTTTCTCTTATTATCATTTTTCTGTATTTTTCATGCTTTTTTCCATTTATTTTTTTAACAATGGTAGGACTTACTTATAGAACTGTTCTGAACCTTACAATTTACTTTCTTCTGTATTAATATGAAAATAATTTGACTTCAAAAAGCATTAAGAAGGGAGGAAATAATACTAAAAGAAAAACCAGCAGTGTCTCTGGCAGTGGCTTCTCCATTCCCACAGTTTTATATTTTCTGGGGACTTTCTCCACATATGGCGGCTTCTTCACTAAACTACTCTGCACCTGACAGTTCCCCTTCTCTAAGCCTCACAACAACGCTAGGAACAGGAAATATCCACTACAGCCCCATGTGACCCACTTAAACCCTTTTGTAACAAATCACAGTAAGCTAAATAAATTCAGAGGCCTTTAAAAGTCCCTACTTTGAAGATCTAAACCTCAAGCTTATTAAAAGTGAAGTGGGTGGCACCCTCTGGACTGGCCAATGTCCTGTTTCAGAGCACCTGGGGTCACTGTGACCCGCGGGGGAGTGTTGTGAGGTCCTGGCTGCCAGTATCACCCTGGCCTAGCCACTGCAGGCATCTAGGGAGAGACCAGTAGTAGACACTTCCTTCTGTGGTTTGGTTTGGTCAGCTCCCTGCCTAACAGACTGATTTTAATGTATAAATAAAGAGCTCTCAGCAAAGGCATCAAGGCCAGACTTTCATGCAGGCCACGGTCTTCCCTGGCCAGCCCAAATACAGTTAGCCTTGGAAGGCACAGTGGCGGGGAGGTGGGTGTCATCTGCTTTTACAACATAAAACACTACTTTCTGGTTAGAGAAGAGGAAGTTAGGTTCTGTGGGATACTTCTAAGTACATCCTTTACGGTCCCGTGCGGAAAGAGGATAGGCACTAACTCTGCCAGTGGCTCCAACACAGTCACCCTTGAACATGACTCCCTGAGCCACATACATCCAGGGCCAATAGCTCAAGGAGCTATAGTGCCTCTAAAGTCCAACTAGAGTTGCACCCTTGGATCACATGTCAACATGAGAAAGATGAAAAGCACATTCCATCCAAAGTCTGGAGAGTAATCAGATCTAATCTGGCTTGGTTAGTAAGAGTAGCTTATGGGCGGATCAGCACTGCAGCAGTGTGCTGGCTGCACTTCCGGGATCCCATGAGGCCACTGGTTCTTATCTGGCTGCTCCACTTCCCATCCAGCTCCACTCTTCAGACTTGGCTGGGGGTAGCAGAGGCTGGCCTAAGGCCTTGGACCCCTGTATCCACCTGGGAGGCCCAAAGGAAGGTCTTGGTTCTTTCCTGCAGATTGGCACAACTCCAGTTGTTGGCAGCCACTTTGGGGAGTGAACCAGCAGACAGAAAAAACTCTGTCTCTTTTGTCCATAACTTTGGCTTTCAAACAGAAAAAAAATATTTTTTTTTAAAAAAAAAGAAGAAAATGACAATGATCTTTAAAAACTTGCTCAGAAAAAAGTCTTTATAGTAAAGTCTGTTTTCTTCATCTCTTGATAGCTTGTTTTGTTTCTGTTTTTGTTAAGATTTACTTACTTATTTCCAAGTCAGTGTTACAGAGAAAAAAGAGACAGACAGAATTACTCAATCCACTGGTTCACTTCCCATATAGCCACAACAGACAAAGCTGGAAAAGGCTGAAGCCAGGAACTTCCTCCAAATCTCCTACGTGGGTGCTGGGACCCAAACATTTGGGCCACCTTCCACTGCTTCCCCAGGCACAAAAGCAGGGAGCTGGATGGGAAGAGGAAAAACTAGGACTCAAACCAATGCCCACAGGAGATGCTGGTGTTAAAAGCAATAGCTCTACAGGGCCGGCATTGTGGCCTAGTGGTTAAAGTCCTCACTTTGAATGCACCAGGATCCCATATGGGTGCCCGTTTAATCCTGGCTGCTCCGCTTCCCATCCAGCTCCCTGATTGTGGACTGGGAAAGCAGTGGAGGACGGCCAAAAGCCTTGGGACCCTGCACCCACGTGGGAGACCTAGAAGAAGTTTCTGGCTCCTGGCTTCAGATCGGCACAACACCAACCATTGCGGTCACTTGGAGAGTGAATCATTGGACAGAAGATCTTCCTCTCTGTCTCTCCTCCTCTCTGTATAGCTGACTTTGCAATAAAAATAAATAAACCTTAAAAATAACTCTACCCACAGCAGCAAATTGTTGGACCCAAGACTTTTTAAGACAATTTGGAAAGCACAATGGGATATGACAAAATTTGAGAATGGAAATAGAAAGCTTGCAGCAAGGACCATGAGATAAAGTAGGCACCAATGTGTCAGACAGACACTTTCCTTTCTGTGACCTGGCAGTATTCCAGGTATTCCCTCCTCCATCTCACGTACAAAGGATGCAAAGAAAACAGCAGGTTTTCCCTCTTGCTCACTCTAACCTGTACTGAAACAGCCCACAGAAAGGAAGGATCTAAGATACGAAAACTGCCACTAGTGAAAAAGAAGTGAATATAAAACCTGAAAGAAACCTGACTTTTACAGAGACTATGGAATCCTGATACAAAGTGAGGCTAACTGTGTTTGAAAGCTACCACATTTATTAAACTAGAATTGTCAAAATTATATGTAATTTTACTTTCAGGAAACTGTAGAGCCCAGCGCAGTAGCCTAGCAGCTAAAGTCCTCGCCTTGCACACACTGGGATCTCATATGGCCACCGGTTCTAATCCCGGCAGCCCTGCTTCCCATTCAGCTCCCTGCTTGTGTCCTGGGAAAGCAGTTGAGGAAAGCCCAAAGCCTTGGGACCCTGCACCCGCATGGGAGACCTGGAAGAGACTCCTTTTGGCTCCTGGCTTCAGATTGGCTCAGCTCTGGCCACTGCAGCTATCTGGGGAGTGAATCATTGGACAGAAGATTTTCCTCTCTGCCTCTCTCCCCCTCTCTGTATATATGACTTTGCAATAGAAATAAATAAATCTTTAAAAAAAAACCCTGTAAATCAATAGATCAATCAAGTAAGAGGCAAATTAAGCTACAACAAAGTAGATCAAACAGTCTACACACACAGCTCAGAACAGTGAGGTCATGGACTTATTCTCTTCTATATTGTACTTTTTAACATATGTGAATTTTGTTTACACAGATGTTTTTTTAAAAATTATCTATCTGAAAGGCAGAGTTAAGGCTGGCATTGTGGCATAGCCAGTAATACCACCAACAGCAACACAACGCCAGCATCCCATATGGACACCACTTCATGTCCTGGCTACTTCACTTCCAGTCCAGTTCCCTGCTAGTAGCCTGGAAAAGCAGTGGAGAATGACCAAAGTCCGTAACTCTAACTCCCTGTCATCCTGACTTTCAAATAAATAAATCTTTACAAAAGGAAAATAAAAGAAAAAAAACGAAGACCAAGCTAGACTCAGAGAGAAGGAGAGATGTAAAGAGAGATCTTCCATCAGCGGGTTCACTCCCCAGAAAGTCAGAAAAGGCGAGGGCTAGGCACTCCACCCAGGTCTCCGCAAGCGGGGCCGGGGCCCACGCGCTCGGGCCATCTGCCACTGCTTTCCCAGATGCAGCGGCAGGAGCTGCAGCGGGAGGGAAGCAGTCAGGACTGCACTCAGCACTTACAGTGATGCCGGCATCAGACAGCCACTGTACTGCAAGGCCAGCTCCAATTATGTGTTTTATAATATACCTTACATTGAAAAAATTGTGTAACTAAATTTATGAAACTATAAAAAAATCAGTTCATAAAATTTTGATTTGTATGTTCTACTCATACATTTTTAAAATTAATGAAGCATGAAACTACTGAATAATGTAATAAGTCTCCTATCTCATTTTCACTGGAAACCAATGAGAGCATGTAACCACAGAAGCACCATGAGGCCCATCAGTGCGCCTCCCTATTCACAGGCAGCGGGACAGACCCTGACCAGTGAGGTACGGGGGCCAAGGCACAGCGCAGGGTCAGGAAGCAAAGAATTCAGAGAGGGTGGAGCAGACTACACATCAGAAGAAGGACCAGGTATCAGAAAGCAAAGAGCATCTGAGAGCGACTCAAATGAATCCGGGCTGTAACAGAGTACCCAAAATGGTAGTAGCATTTGATATGCCTGTAGTTCTCTAACACTCTAGGTCATTCTCTGGCCTAGTCTACAAAAAGCACTTGTTTGTTGGCTTTTGTGCATTTCTACATGGAGATTTTTGTGGGATTCTACACGAAGTTCAACACATTTATAAAAAGGAAGATCCCATATGTTTTAGAACTACCACGGAATCATGGCTGCAGAAGTCCCGTTTTGTGTGTGGTGCCCTTCTGACAGCCGCGCTGGGATATTCTGATTCTTGACTCTCATTTCACAAGGCCTGAGGTTAAATGAGGAACCAACATTCACTTTGTTATTCAAATCATTCTGAATCATCTGCCTCTTCAGACCAGTTAAGTCCCAGTAAGGAGAAGGCACAGAACAAAAGCCCTAACAGTGGCTTTTGAGAAACTTGCACCGAGTTCATCCTGTGGGACAAGAAAGAGTAATCCCACTTCCTATAGTACCTGCCCAGAGCCTCGATCCCCGGGCCCCTTTCCCACAGCTGGTGGTCTGTCACTCGAGACCTTGCAGAAACATGTATGGAACTTACCCGTATATACACGACACGTCGATTACAACGTCAATCATGTCACAGCACAGTTCGTAAGACTGCATATCCACAGGGGAACTGTCGGTGGCAATGTAGATTTTGCTGACAACATCAAAGAGAAAAGCTTTTTCAATACCTGAATTCTTGGAAAAACAAAATTGGGGAAGCGTTCAGTATTCTGCTAGTTATCAAAGATCTTGAATGATTAAATAACATCCCAGGTCATTTTTAATAATACAATCCAATACCAAAAAAAAACAAAAATAGTATTTGGTTGAGACTTTTTCTGTTATTTAAATTCTATTACTTATTACTATATTCTAAAGAATAATAATACCTGCTCTGATTTAACTATATGCACCCAAATTTTTCCTTTCAATAACCAACCAAAAATTTCACAAAAACATTTTCTAAAAATCAAGCTATGCTACATTTTCAATAATCTTTTTTTCCTTATAATAGTCAGTTTCTGATTTGAATGTCTTCATAATCAGGATAAAGACTTTACATAGCAATTAGCGAAAGATAAAAAGAAAAAAGGAATAACAGTATAACCCCAAAATTCTGAAGAATCCAAGTGGGGATCACCACAGACTCCGACCAGCATAGGGAGGGACCAGCACTTAGCTTAGCAGTTAAGAAAAGCGTTAAGGGCCAACACCCCTATTGGGGTGCCTGGGTTGGACATCTGTCACCTGACTAAAAAGATCCTGCCAGGCAGCAATGAAGGCCCACGTGACTGGGTTCCTCCATCCACATGTCAGACCCGGACTGCGTTCCCAGCTGCTAGCTCCAAGCATGGCTGGCCTCGGTCCCCTAGCCAAGGCAGGTCTTTGAGGAGTGCCCGTGTTTTTCTGCCTTTCAAATAAATAATTGGCTTGTTGAAAATAAGTACTGTTTGCAAATACAATAGTTCAATGGTAAACCTATTGGGAAGCAATCCTTGTAAGATGAATCCTCAAAATAAGAATCTAAAATAATACCAAGATTATAGTCAGCAAAGAAAGGAAAAGGTTAATTCTTCAATATGACTTCAAGTAAGGCAGAGATGACAAAAACATAGTACTTAAAAAAACAGCAATTCAAGCCATTACTTCATAACCTTTTTATTTTACGTGCTAAATGTGTCACTTTAGCCTTTAAGTTTGATTTGAACTAAATCAACTCCCGCTTTCAGCAGAATGTGCAGACGTAAAGACAGTTACTAAAAACATAATCGGAAACTATAGCAAAGTAGCTCACTTACTGATATAAAGATATTTAATAGGTTTTCCAGGGTCGGCAGTTGTGGGATGAGTTTCTGCACCACCTTACTAAAGGCTTCAAATATTGAATGGTCATAGATACTAGTCAAATAAAAGCTGCAAAACAACACAGTCTGATTAACGAGAAGTATCTTAAATTCAGTGAAATCTGTCATAATACACACAATTTTGTCTCTTCTCTAACATATAAGTACTTTCGTATGACACAGAAATTTTAAATCATTTAAGTTCAAATAAACTCCAACTTGTCTGACCATCCTTACCACCCAAGATTACAAACACAGTTTGCCATCTGTTCTGCAAATGTCTATTCAACCCCAATTCGGGTTTCTGATAAAAATGTCACTTCCTCAAAAAGCTCTTTGCTGACCGCCCTGCCCAGGACAGCACTCCTGTACCAAAGCTTTTTATCCCTTTCTCCTGCGTTTTCTTGGGCGCTTAGTCACTGATCCACAGGGCGTTTGAGCTGTGTCACTCCTCAGAATGTAAGCTCCATGAAGACACTTTGTCAGTCTCTTCCTGCTGCCAGCTGACTGTCCCCACCAGTGGTTCCAATAACCTCTGAATGAACACCTGGAACTGGTGCTCAGATTGTATGCCAACAGCACACTGAGGAGGATGGTAGCCGGGGCTCTAGGGGCGTGGTGGGAGTCTCAAGGCCTGAAAGCATGAACAGCAGAGAAGTCACATGCAGACTTAATGACATCTATGGGTGAGAGATCTGTAACCAGTTCAACTCTGGGGGGAATTCTACCTGTTTTTGTATTTGGGGAGTACACTCTTCATTCTAAAACTGTATCCAGGACACAAATGTATAAACTCTGAGGTGCCACAGATACAGGGCTGTCTACACAACTTTACAGGTAACTTTCAGCTCCTTTCCACAGCTGAGCTAAGAACCCATCAACAACAACAACAACAAAAAGAACCCATCAACAAGCGACAAACAAGAAGAGGCTCTCCTCTGGGCAAGACCTCCAAAATTGTCAAGGCCAGGATGACCCACATGTACCAGGGAGAGACAGAGCATTTAGTGTTTCTACAAAAAAGTTCAGCAGACTGAGAAGGTCCTGCAGGGCCTGTGAGGACTGGAGGTGCTCAGGGAGAAAAGAACTTTCCCAAGAGGAGTTTCTGGAAACTGTAAATGAATTGCAGCTTCAGCCCTGGACCCGCTAGAACTAAAAAAAGCTGAATACAAAACTCTATTGAGACTGCCAAGGCTGAGGGCTTACAGGTACTGGGGAAAGGCTTAGTGTCTCCCAAGGGGACAGGATGCCTCAGAAAGGAACACAGACATGGAGTAAAGAGAACCAGGACCCCTGGGTGCTGGGGCACACAAGACGAGCCTGGCTCCAAAGCCAAATAAAAATCCACAGGGAAGTCCCAAAAAATAAGATGCACACATTTTATAGGGTAGCATTTTCACTTACACATAAAGCTAATATCTTATTTTTTTAATATCAGTTACTTTGATAACTTTAAAAAAATGTAATCCAGGCAAATGACAAGCCATTGAGGCATTCCCACGTGGTTTTCTTGGAAGAATAACAAAGATACTGAAGGATGGAAAATCCTGACGGTAAAAGAAAAAGGAAATACTGAAGGCTGCCTTGGGCCTCTGGGGAAATTACTACAACAAATCGAGGATAAAGAAATTCACTTGCACCCTTCCCCTGCTCTTCCCTTAAGCTGTTGATTTCATCAAGAGAACATTCTTGAGAATATTCATGCCTACCTAGATATATCATCAGAAAAAGTAAGATGTATGAAAACATTCAGCAGGTACTTCCAGCACTGAGACACAGATCACCAATCAAAACTAGTAGGTGGTCATTACTAATAGTTTCCTAGTGATATTTAATTATAAAACAGTAATCCTTTACATTTAATACCAGCCCCATACAAACTTCAAGGGGATTCCTCAACTCCAATTCAAACCTGAGTCTCATAAAGGCATTCAATTTTAAAAACTAAGATCTATTAGTATCAGTCCAACGCAAACACGAACTCCTTCTAAGATGCTCGTCCTACTGACAACTCACGCTAAAGACGTCTCCAGCCACTGGGACAGAGATTATTCCTGCACTGAGCAAGGGGGGAAAGAATGAAACCAACAAAGGGAATCCCAAAGCAGGTCGGCAACCCCAGAAATGAGCCTGACTCCAATCTCAAAACGAACTTCTTAGAGTGCCGAACAAGACACTTCATGGGACTTCAACCAGCAGAAACAAATGCAATGGCCTTGGCCAAGTCACTTCTCAGCCACATTGCACCATTGGTGCGGGATCCATCACGCGCCCTCGGGGCTCTCCCGGCTACCATAGATTGTTACCTGAGGTGCAGCTTCTCCAGCCCTGCGTCTGCCAGGTCATCATTGGCCCTCTGGTGGATGTCCCGCTGGGTTTCTATCTTGTGATCATCAGACAGACCATCAACTTTGTGAATAAAAACCTCAAAATTCATGTCTGGGTTCACTTTGTACGCTTTGGAAACAGTAATGTGGAGTCTGGTCAAAGCTTCCATGTAGTCATCCTGCAAGTCAGAACGAAGCATGTGTTAAAAATCTCGCAAAAAACAATGAGTTAAGAAAGTCTCCGGACCACTTCTTTTCCCAACCACAGAAAATGGATTATCCTAATTATTCACAAGCAAACATTCAAATACACTGATTTACACTAATAATGAAGCCCTTCAATTGCTTAAGATTCAGCTACCAAGTTGATGCTTTTAGTTTCCAAAACTGATAATATAAAGCAATGGGACAGGGAATGGACATTCCTTCCCACCAGAATTGTTAAGTAATCCCAGCTCTGCCATTTATTAGATGTATGGCTCTGGGCTAGTCATTAAACTCCGGGACCTCCGCTGACTCATCTATAAAGTTGAAATTGCAATATCCAGCACACAATACTGCGAAGACCAAATTAAACTGCATCAAGTAGGTGAGGGCACACATGACAGAGACTGTCAGAGCCTCTGCCAAGTCCAAGCTTCTAAAAGATCAGTTTCTTAAAGACACCAACACAACCCATTCACGGGGTCCCAGCTACAGGCCAGGCCTTCCGTAATTGTTTCTTGGAGTAAATTTGATTTGAATAATTAAGGAAACTAATCTCTTAAATATCCACCGACTGTTTGCAAATTTTTCCATGTATTGTGGGCATTAATGGCACCTCTTCAGTGAGTGATGGAACTAATGTAATAGTCAATGAAGTACAGCAGTATCTGTGAGTAACCAATAAAACTGAAGAGCCAGTATTAACTGCTCATTAGCCAGGAGTCCGGGATGTAAAGCCCATCTTCTAATGGTCTGATCCCCTCGAGCTCCCCAATGCATGCCCACTCTCCAGCTACCTCCTTAACGCCTACTGTTAGGGGGCCCCAAGAGATGAAGGCAGAGCCAAGTTCCCTTTGCTGCCACATCTTCGTGCCCTAGCAGTAGGTGCAAGCAACCTTATTCCTAACTACCTGTGCATCAATGACATATATCAAAGCTCCTGTTCCCCTGAAGATCATCTCATAGTCAAAGGTTGGATCAAAAAAGTCCATTTGTCCAGGAAAATCCCAGATCTGGAAATTCACAAAGGAGCTATTGGAAATGTCGTCTTTGTAAATCTTGTTGGTACTTTCCAAAAAGAGGGTCTCATTGGGTGACATCTTATGAAACACCACCTGTGAAAATAAATCAGAAAATATTATGATTACTCAAGTTCAGAACCTAAATTAAAAGTGAATATCCCAGACTAATACAAAAATAACTGGTCATAGGCCCAGCACGACAGCCCAGTGGCTAAATCCGTGTCTTGAATGTACCAGGATTCCATGCGGGTGTCAGTTCATTTCCCAGCTGCTCCACTGCCACAAGCTCTCTGCTTGTGGCCTGGGAAGGCAGTGGACAGTGGCCCAGGGCCTTGGGACCCTGCACCCACGTGGGAGATCCGGAAAAGGTTCCTGACACCTGGCTTCAGATGTCTTAATTCTGTCAAAATCTGCTTTAAGATTATGAAAGAGGGGAAGAGTGTTGTGGTACACTTCAGCTAGCTACTGCCTAGGACACCTATGTAAGAGCTCCTGGTCAAGTCCAGGCTACTCCACTTGCAACCCAGTTTCCTACTAACATGCCTGGGAGGGAGTGCCCAAGAACTTATGTCCCTGCCAGCCATAGAGAAGTCGGAGTTCCTGGCCCCTGGCTTCAGCCTGGATCAGCCCCTACTGCTGTAGGTGCTGGTGAATGAACTGTCAAATTTCTTCTCCCCCAACACCTCCATTAGTCTGTCTTTCAAATAAATAAATAATCTTTTTGAAATGATTGTTTTATAGCTAAAGTTTAAGAAGTTTTGTTCACTAAAAAATTACTTGAAAGGAGTAGGTTGCAGCACAAAGGTTTCCATCAGTGCTTGCCTGTCTCACCAAAGTGGCAGCTCGAGTCCCAACTGCTTGGCTTCCCACCCAGCGTCCTGCTAATGCAGCCTGGGAGGCAGCAGGTGAGGGCTCCAGTGCTCAGGCTCCTGGCACCAACACCGGGCAGGAGCGCAGAGCTCCTGGCACCAACACTGGGCATGGGCATGGAGCTCCTGGCACCAACACCAGACACGGACATGGAGCTCCTGGCACCAACACTGGACACGGACATGGAGCTCCTGGCACCAACTCTGGGCACGCGCATGGAGCTCCTGGCACCAACACCGGGCATGGAGGTGAGGCTCCTGGCACCAACACTGGGCATGGAGGTGAGGCTCCTGGCTGTAGGGTTCCACCTGGCCAAGTCCCAACTGTTGCAGCCATTTGGGGAGTGAACCAGCAGATGCAACATCTCTTGCTCTGACTTTCAATGCATAAAGATAAACATTCCTTGACAATTACTTCATTCAAAGACAATTATATCTGAGAAATAATTAAAAATATATATATGTATACAGTGGCTAGGCCACACTGACTTAACAGTCTTGTAGGAGAAATAAAATGGGGTTGGTTGGTAACTATACCAAGAAGTGAGGCTGTCCAGGTGGGTGTGGGAAGCCTCAGGTAGGGATGACAGCGAAGAGACTGCTGCCACAGCACAGGCTCAAGGACCTCAATCCACAAACATCACAGGCAAGCTAACTGCGGGTCCAACTTTCTAGAAAAGTCGTCAGATAACACGCCACCAGCAAGTAAGAATTAAAATCAGCTGGCTGCAACCCCATTGCTAAACACACCCAATTTTACTGGGAGGCGAAAGGCAAGGTAAGGAAAGCACCGTAGCGCAGCAAACCGGGAAAGTTACTTTTGTTTCAACTTCATGAGTCCTGGACAGGACTGAGCAGCGGAGGGGAAGGAGGCGGCCGGTGTGGCTCGCCCTGCGGAACCCGGACGGTGAGAGAGGAAGTTAACCTTGGCCCGACCGCGGTACTTCAGAAAGCTCGCGGGAAATGGAATGAAAAGTTTTATTTTGGTGAGGACTCTCTGAAATTCGCGCGTATTTTTTCTCCTTTCTCTCTCATCATAGGCATTTCCGTGGCCTTCCTGAAGGTCCTTCGTCCTCTCCCTATTTCTAATGTGCAGTCTACGCTCCTAAGTGGAGACAAACGGGCTGAGAACCGTCTGCAAAACCTCCCCAGAGTCTCAAAAGATTCTGGCTCACCACCCTCCCGCGCGAGATGGAGATGGGGAGGAGGAGATGACCGTCCCTCACAACATTCTCCGGGTCCCAAACCTCGGACAGGTGCAACGGCTGTGTAGAACACGGGAGCAAGAGCAGGCAGCGGGGGTCGGCCACAACCCCCGGCCGCGGCTCGAGGAGGGAGGCGGGGAGAGAGGGGAGACAAGCAAGCACGAAGACCAGGGGCAGGCGTCTGCCAAGTGCTCCAAGGGAACACTAGAGACCAGCACATCTCAGTTTCGTAAATGACAGGGGCCTGGTCCCAAGGGGCGTAGGTTTCGGGCGGCACCCACCGGGCACCTGCCTCCCCTCCCCGTGTCCACTCTGGCTCCGGCGCAGAGGTCGGGGTCCCAGCGTGCGCGCCGACGCACGAGGAGAAGAGAAAGTGAGACGGGACAGGGCGCCGCACCGGCCGCCGCCCTCCCCGGCCTCCCCCGCGGGCAGCACCTGCACACCGGGCACCGGGCAGAGCCGGCGCGGCCCCACTCACCTTCTGGATGGACGACTTGCCGCTGCGCCGGAGTCCCATGAGCAGAATCCTCGGCTTGGAGCTGTCAGCGCCCCCAGGGCCGCAGCCTCCGCCGGCCCCCGCCCCGACCCCGCCGCCAGCCGCCGCCGCCTCCTCTTCTTCCTCCTCCACGCCGTAGCCGAAGTCTTTCGGGAATGAGTCGGCCGCGCCGTAACTGCCAGCCAGCGGCGCCTCCTCGGCCCCGTACTGCAGGGACATGGTGCCGGAGCCTCCGCCGCCGCCGCCCGCGCCCTGACAGGCCAGGCCAGGCCGAGCCAGGCCGCCGCCTCCCCACTCCGCCGCCGCTGCCACCGCCCCCGGCAGCCGCCACCGTCCTGCCCGCCCCCGAGCCCGGTTCTCATAGGCCCGGAGCCGGGGTCCGGCCCCTCATTGGCCGTCCGAGCCGCCACTCGGGCGCAGCAGGGTCGGCGGTGCCCGTCACGTGCCCGGAATCACCTGACTCGCCGCGGCCGAGGGGGGAGGAGGAGTCACGAGGAGGGCGGCCCGGCCGCGCCTCTCCCCCGGCTCCGGGGCCCTCGGTCCGCCCCAGGCCGCCGGGTGCGCCCATCGGGCTGCTCACAGCTCCCGGGCCTGGCGCCTGGAACCCCGGGCGCCAAAGTGGGCGATGCTCTCTGAGCATCCTCGGGGGGTGGAGGCTGGATTCTTGTACGGCCGCACGCGCCTGACCGGGGTTCTACATGGATGCCTGCGAGGTCCTGGGGCCCTACCCAGGGGCTCAAAACTGGAACCGACTTGCATCCCGCCTGCCCTCGAGTGGCCAGTGGACAGAGCGCGCGGACCTCTCGTGAGTAGCTGCGGGACGTGGATAGGGTTGGGAAGCCGTGGATACAGGTGGAAGTCTCGGAGTTGGGATGAGAATGTGTTGGAGGGGGTGGCATCTGGGCAGGTCTAGAGGGTGGACGTGAGGCGTGGAGGAGGCGGAGCCACCAGAGCCGAGTGGCCGAAGCCCGGTCCTACGACTGTGGGATAGTTTTAAAACCAGGCCGGCCAAACTAGAACCATCTCTCCACAGCAGAAAGCTCGACAGTGAGTACTGCTGTCGCTTCCACCTTAGTGGGATTCCATTTCCTTCTTTCCACCTAGCCCGAGGCTACATCCATCCCCAGACTGGACACAGCCCGTTCTGAATCCTCCCGCCCCAGATTAGTGGCCTGGTGGTGTTGAAAGCAAAGCAAATGTTTAATTCATCAGCCATGTCTGAGAAAGCTGTAAGAATGTTCACCTTCAGCCATCGGGCTCTGGAACACTAAAACTGGACAGGATGCCCCTCTTAAGAGTGCAGCCCAGTTCTTCAATTAGAGAAGGGGTTGTGGCGATCACGAAGGGCAGGCCCACCCCTGCGAGGTCTGGAACTTGGGCTGTCATCTAGCCCAACCACTTACCTGAACAGTCAGCTCTCAGGGAGTTTCTGGTAGACTGCGGGGAGGTGCTTATGCTATAGTCCCCAGGACAGCCAGACCCTCCAGGATACCAAATGGTAGTCTTAAGTTCCTTGTGTAACATGGTGTTGAATTTGCAAGTCGTCTGTACACAGCTCCCCATATCCTTTATTGTCTCTGGATTACTTATCTAATACAAGAATACTGTAAACATGGTTGTCATACTGTTTCAGAGATAATAAACCTCCCCCCCCCAAAAAAAAGTCTGCATATGTTCACACACCATTTTCCCCAACATTTTCAAACCATAGTTGGTTAGTCCATAAACGTGGCATCCATGGAGGGGAGGCGGATGACAGTTTAGAAGGAGGAGGACTCACTATCTCTCATCTGGCCACCAATCCCAGTTTTTTATTAAAGCTGAAAATCCCCTTGACACCAAAAATAGTGGAGCAGTATGGTAGTCGTGGTTTCACGACAACCCTTCATCTATTTTGGTCATCGTCATTACCCACTTACTCTTCTCTGTTCCATGTGCTCCTTGAACCATTCTTCCTATAACACTGTCCAGTGTAACTATGTCATTACCAAAATGTTCTGTGTTGGTACAGCTCGGTGCGTGTGGTAGCCACCAGCCACAGGTGGATTTAGCCCTCAAACTGAATTTTCATTTAGTTTTAATTACCACATGTAGCCAGTGGCTACCCTGTCCGGTGGCCATATAATTTCAAATCCCATATCCCTGCAGGTCCACTGTCCACTTAAATTCAAGCTTCCTGACAGCCCTCACAACCCCTGTGACTTTGAAAGCAACACCAGCCGTCTTTGGGTAATATTTCTAGTAATGCTTTCCAGTGCAAAGTGTCTACAGTCAGTGGTCCTCTCCCTGCCATCCTAGTGCCTCGGCTTGGATCATCGCACTTTCTATCCTAAATATAAGACTTGGGATTTCAATGTTTTGGGTGCTCAGGTTGTTAGTCATTTGAAAGCTTATTTCAATATAATCTACCACCCAGCCCTTCCAATTTTGTGGCACTTAGATCTGGCATTTCTCCCATCTGCTCCATATGTAGTCCTTTACAGTTTGCAAGGCACTTTTACATCCATTATGTTCGATACGATCCTTACGACTATCTTGTGAGGTAGGCAAGACATGAAATCTCTATTTTATAAATAAAGCAGTGTAGGCACTGCAGGAACTGATCTGGTTGGGTCCATTTCTGTTGGCTTGGAGAGCCGCTGATATACCAGTCTTTGTTCAAATTCCTGAAGGGAATGTTAAGGATGACACCTGCAGAACCCAGGCTAACCCTCAGTTCTTCAGCAGCACTGGCCAGCACAGCACTGGAGCAGGTCAGTCCCCCCGGAAGTGTGATTATCCCTCCCACACACTGCCACAGGAGAGACACCTGACTTCAGTGACAAGCGTGGATTCTAGCCCCGTGAGAGAAGAAGCAGATGAGGGTGGGCTGCCAGGAGACAGACAGCTTGGGCTTGTCTAAGCGGAGAGGCTGTGGTACTAACTGCTGATTGAAGAAGCCAAGTCTCCCTCTCTTCCAAACTCTTCGTGGGGCCGTGTTTTATTATTCATATGGTTCCCAGCACATCCTAACCCACACTGTAACTGTTTATACATATGTCTCACAACCAACTTCAAGTCATTCATCTTTATCACACTCAGCTCAGCGCTGCCCATGTGGGAGGCACTCAACTCAGTACAAGAGAAATCCATCCAAATCTGTGTTCTTCCAGTAGCATCTGGCCCCCCTCCAAAAACAAACTTGTGACTAAGAGAGACACAGACCACTGCCACATTCCTGCCAACGTGGCTGATTAAAATGCCCTCACAATTGGCTTGGTCACAGTTCCCAGCAGGCGCCACGGCTCTTGCTAGTTAAACCAGCTTTCCTTGGATCGTTTTGCTGTGTTTTGATTGAAAAATAAATACAGTTTCTCTAACAACAGGGACAGAATACATGAAATAAAGCTTCTTTAAAATGTCTATCCGTGAGCAGTAAAACAAACATCTAACTACAGGTCTTTGGGGGAAAAAGGACTGACAGACAATACAGTGCTTTACCGTTTACAAATCTTTCACATACATTCTCATTTGACCCTCACAACAACCCTGTGAGGTAGGCAGCAGACTTCTCATTTGACAGATGAGGAAAGTGTCTCCCAACAGTAAACTGATGTGCCCGAGTTCTACAGTTAGTGCACATTTTGTATCAACATCAGTCTTTGGCCCAAAATTTCAACACCCAACCTCCTCTCAGATTTGCCCTACCTACTTCACAGGGATAATGAAGATAAAATGAATTCAAGGTTAGGGGGAAAAAAAATTGAAGGTGGGGGGAGCACTGTGATTACACCCACAGTGTGTGCTCCTTTCCCTCTGCATTTCAGCTTGTGCGTGTGAACCCCTAATTCTCTATTCCCTCTGTTGTTGTGCTCAATGTTAAACAATGCAGTAAGGCAGGAGAACAGTGTGATCTGTTTAAAGTTCTATCAAGTACAATCAGGGTAACTGCTGTTCCTAAACACATAGAAAGGCCAGTGTGCAGCTGGGACCCAAGGAGGCACTGAGCAAAGCAAGGCAACAGTATCAGAGAGGGCACTGATTGCATAGAAGGAAAACGTGGTGCCAGCGCTCAGGCTGGCACACACAGAGTTCTCTAAGGCAAAGTGGTGGCAAAGATGAGTTACTTGTTCCAAGTTATTCCGCAGTACAGAAACCAGAACAGCAGATTCAGGGGAGCCCGCCGCAGGTGCATCTCAAGTCTCACAGATCTCTCTAGCTGCCTACAGCAATATAAACAACAGTGTCAGCTTCATGTTAAATAATGACTGTACCTGTGCTCACATCCTGACCAAGTAACAGCCCCACGCTAACCTCTCTTGGCTAAAACACACCTCCATCCCATCACTCCTCATCAGATAATAAACAGTGTTTCTAAGATCATGTAATGTTAAATGGCTTTTTTGTTGTTGCTGTTGTTTGTTTTCTCCCAGGATTTACTTTGGATTCTCCTGCTGTAAGACCCAAAGAAAGTTATATTGAGTTTTTATTGGTGATTCTAATATATGTGTTTTTAACAATTAAAGTGTAATAGGTGAATTTAACATATTAAAAGTTCTATAGCATCTGTTCAGAAAAGATTATATACTATACAAACTATTTAAGTCATACAAAACCATTTCAGTGTCTTTTCAACTGAGAAGAATCCTATTCAGCACGCTTCTCCTCCTGAGGTGGTTCATACTGAGCAAGCTATGGGGCAAAGACAGAGGAGTTTAGGTGAATTTTATTCTAAACTAGGTTAAAAAAAATACAAGTTTAGCTACTAAATCAATAAGTTGAAGTATATCAATTACTATGTCTATCCTGAAACCATCCAATGATTTTCAATTTAACAGCCAACCTACTCAAAATCCCTTTTTAGAAAACTAAAACCCTAACTCATGACTGTCCTGTTCAGATACTTAGTATGTAATAGTCTCTATCTTCCCAAAGATGTAGTGGCTTATAATAAGGAATTTCTTCCTCTCCACCAAGTTTAACTCAACTTACCCCCTAAAAAATAGAGAAAAGATGGTATGTGACATGGATCAATCTAACCAATGCAAAGTAACTAATGCCTTTGACTTAAAAGGTGCGGAGAGGTTAATAAGCATTAGTGCCTTGTAGAATCTTAGATTATTTAAGGTGATGCATTTTTCTTTCATGCAAAGGTGTAATTTCTTGGAAGAACAGGACATTAAGCTTTGGGTTCTTCCCATTAGCTGTTGGATCCAAAAGTTTGTATTTCACTGAGCTTTGAAAAATAAAACACATGATGAGAAATACCTAGGGTCACACAAAATACATTATGTGATTCCAAATGTGATAAGACTAATTGACTAATTGAAAACTTATCAACAAAGAAAAATCTTCAGCACTGATTTGTTCATTCAGGGTTACCATCTATGACCATGCAGATTACACACACACCACCCCAAGAGGTGCCACTTACAAAGAGTGACCTAATTCAATCAGCTACTTTAAGACTCACAACTCTCATTTACTTCTGAGCAACACGAACCAGTATTTTCATTTTTTTGTGGATTCAAGCACCCAAGAGCCTGCTCTTGACCACATTCTGCTTGTCCTGTTGAATTCATCTTGAGGTTTCCTCGAGTTTTCCTAACTTTGCCTTGCACTGAATCAGACTAGAAGGCACCTATCTCGGGCCAATTTTAGTAAGGCTTTGATTACAGAATCACTGAAGATGAAATTATTTTAACATGAATTCCTTTTTTTAAGATTTACCTTTGTTTTCAGTTTTTTATTTTCTTCTACAATAGCTTCATATTTTTCTTTCATTTCTGCCAATTCTAGGCGAAGCAGCTCTATCTCTGGATTTTCTGGGGTAGCAGCTCCTAAGTGATGCTTTAAAAAGCTAATGTCAGTGTTAAGAATTTACTGCTGAGAGCAAAGTGAACCTCCTAAGTAACCCAAGGTAGCATTCACATCACTGACCATTCACCCACCCTGCCACCAATATTTACCCAGAGATTTTTCCAAAAACTCAAAGGAGAATAATTCTTTCAATAAGCCAAAGTGCTTTAAAATTATCTGTGAGGGGAAAAAAAACGAGACACTCCAAAATGAGGCCTTGAGCTGACTTCAGAGGTGAAAAGGATACTCCAAAGCACTATTAGGTTTCTCTGGTTCTTCATATAAGGCTACCAACACTGCAAATCAAAAAAAGCAGAGAAAGCAACAATTATAGTCTTACATTTTTACAATGGCTGAGATTCTATTTCTTAGGCCAGTAAGTACAAACTGCCTACCACAGGCTAAGTGCATCGTTAGGACAGTCTATACAGTGGTGCTCAGGACAGAATGGTCCTGCTGACACGGATTACACAGCATAGCGCAGAAGATAAGCAAGGAACAGGCAGAGCACCGAGCAGGCAGTACAGGAGCACCACTATCTCAGCCTGGGCTTCAGGGAGAGAGGCCTGAGATCTAGGCCATGAGTGGTACAGATCAAACAGCAGGGCCCAGCACAAGTCAACCACAGCATCCAACTGCAAATTCAAGTATGGCAGGATGGGAGTTGGGAGTGATGTGGCTGGAAAGGTGGTCAGGCGCCACACTGCAGAGGGGCACCTGGGCTGGGTTGGACTTTGATCCCAAGAGCAACAGGCATATAATTAAACAGTTCTAAGCAGGAGAGAGACAGGATCACTCCAGGCAGCTGCATGGAGCCCCAACGGGGTGACACAAAGATAATCACTGGAGCAACAGTTCAGAGGCTGACGTGTCAATCCGGTCTAACAAGTCGGTGACCTGCATTACAGGCAGAGGAAAATCTGGAGAAAATTTAGGATCAACAGGAAGATGCTAATTATTGCAAGCAGCCTCAGCTCCATGCGTTCTTCAGGATCAAAGTGGCAAACTCAGCACAACAAAAGCTACCAACCAAAAACTCACCCAGAGTCAGTATCATCATACACACTCGCCAGGGGTTTCAAATCCTCTAACTCATGAGTGCTACCCTTATTCTTAGTGAAGAATTTCCTCCTACGGTTTACTCCTCAGAACTCTCCACCAGAGCTTGGCTTTTCTGTGAAGGAAACCCCTTGAGAGTTCTCATAAAACCTGGAAGTACATGCTTGAAAGGTGCTGTCTAGCTGAGTCTTGTAAGCCAGTTTAGCTGCTTCCCCCTGGTCTTCTGCAGGTCTGATAATGTATGACAGAATGAGAAAATCCAACAGGCAAACCCTTAACATCTTCCCTCCAGGACCTTCACAGCACAGCACCACCGTCCCTCCCCTTCTCCTCTGTCTGCTGCAGCACTCTGGAGACGCTGCTGTTGGCTTTGTCCCTTATGTATACGCTCACACCTGGCCTGTGTCTTCTTCCGTTAGTTCCCACTCATCCCTGCTGAACCATAATTTGCTAAAGACTGGGTACTAACACTCTCACCCTTTCCTCCCCTCCTCCTTCAGCTTCTGGATTTGTTGGTAGTCCTTACCACCTTAATAAAGAATCTAACGGAAACGGTGTTTTCTGTGCTTTTCCACAGATGAACTACACTTCCTTGTTGCAGTGAGAGAAGTTAAACTCTCTGCCCCCTTTTCTGCCATAACCCAGGGTTGTCAGTAACCAGAATGCCTCTTCTTCCAAACGATTTGCCCCTTTGCAGTTCTCTTTGGTTGTGTTAATATTGTAAGCAATTTCAAATCCTCTTGGAATGAGCTGTTTAAAAAAAATTGGAAGAACCTATGTTTGAAAATGTTAAATAAAACATTCCAACAGACACACCATGCTGTCTGATGTTCCTTAAGAGACTGAAGGGTAAGAGTCTGGGGGTGTGTGCCAGAGAAGGCTGCGCCTCTCCTGTGGAGAGCTGCCCAACAGCTGCCCGCTCCACCCAGCCGCCCTGGCCTCCTTGATAATCCCTTATCCAAAGCGCCTGCACCGAGAAGGGGTTCAGACTTTGATTTTTTTTTTTTTTTGCCAGATTTTGAAATCTTTGCATATACATGAGCTCTCTTGGGGATGAATCCAAGGGATCCATTCCTCTTACTGCCTAAAGGTCAAGTCTGCATTCTGACTGTCAAGCAGCGGAATTTCCCACATTTCAGGTGCCAGCACATTTTGGATGTCTCAGATTGAAAATGATCAACCTGTAAGAATGACTGCAACTGTTTAACACCAAACAGCTCATTCAGTTCTCTGCTCAAAAGTGACTTCTCAAGGAAAGCGTCTCCCACCTGCCACTGCCTGAACGGCTCCATTAACCCTGGGCCCCCTAACCTTGCTAGGCTTGCATTCCTAACACTTGCCACTAGTTGACACTATGTATTTCTCTATGATGTGTCTCCCCAGCTGTAAGTACACGGAGCTGGGACATTTTTAAGGCCACTCTTGTTAGTGTCCAAAAGGCCTGAGTAAAATGGTTATTAAAGAACTTGCGGGATTTTTGAATGACACAACACAGTGCCACACAGTGCCGCATCAGCTGAAATGTATTTGCAAAGAGACAGGGAAACTAGTGTAGCGATTCCAACTACCACCCCATGCACAGGCACTGCAACTCCTGCCTTCTTTTAAGACTCGGAACTCAGTTCCACTTCATGAGCATAGCCCCCCCCCCCCCCCCCCGGTTTATGCCTACAGAGCAGATACCAAATTATTTCCATATTACCCATGGTTCTCCTGCAGTCCCTGTGCTCATCCCTGCCACCAGTCCCATTCTTCATCCTGGAAAATTCCAGGCAGGGAGTTGGGTGACACACAGCGAGCTCACCGAAGCAGCAAGAACCTTCCCCACTTTGCAGAACTTGTCATCTACCTGGTAGATCTGGAGCTCACACAGTGTAAACTTCCAGTTTTAACCCTGAGATCAATATAGCCACTCTTCTGCGTCCTCTGGCTTTTGAAGGCTGTACCTCTACCTTCATTTGCAAAACCTACACACAACAGGAATGGGGCAGTGCCTGGACCCCACTCGGCTGCCTCACGGCCCTCTTTTCCTAACTAGTCATTTCCCCCAGTTGTCCTGGGCCCGAGGGGAAAATATGTCTTAATGCTTCTAGGGACCCCGCAAATGCTCTAAGTGGGAGCAGGAGGCGTGCACCCACGGGTCTCCGGCTAACACGTCCTCTGCGGCTGCTCCAAGCACCGCGGCGGAAGTTGGAGCGACTTTGCAAGAGTTGAGCTCCGGACGCGGGGACAGGCGGCAGTGCGAGCCAGGCTCCTCTCGGGCGGAGTCCGGCCCCCAGGCCACCTCGCCGAGGCCCTGGACGCAAACCACCTGTTCTCCCTCCGTCCCCCGCGGCGAGGCCCGTCAGGGGAGTGGGGGAGGCACGCGAGTCCTGTCTGAGCCCATGCTCACCCTTGGTCAGCGTGTCCAGCACCCCCGACTTCTCCAAGTACCTCCGGAACTGCTCGCGCTTCGAGTCGGCGGCCTGAGGAGACACGGCGGGTCAGGGGGCCGGAGCCCAGAGACCGGAGCAGGAAGGCGGCTCTGGGAGTCCGGCAAGCCCGCCTCCGCCTCGTTACCGCGGAAGGCCCCCCCACTCCTTCAACACCTGCGCGCGCCGCCGCCGCCCCCACACCCGCCCGGGGCCGACCCCGCGGCCGGCGACCGCCCGCACGCCCCCGGCCACGCCGCGCCCCCCGCCCCCCTCACTTTGTAATGGGCCATAGTGACAGCGGCAGCGGCGTCGCTGGCGCCGGAGACCGTGGCTGGCGGGCTCGGGACGGCACTGCTCATGCGCGGCAGGGCGCGCGCGACTGCGCACTGGCGAGCCACGGGCCCGGCCGGCCGGGGTGTGGCCTGTTTTCATGGCGACCGGGACGCTCTGGATTTCCCCCGGCGCGGGAGTAGCCGAGGGAGGCTGCGCGCGCCCGCCCCTCGGGCCGTCGGAGCGGCGGCCCTCTTTCCTCTTCCGGTCCCCGCGACGATTCGGTTGCCGAGGGGAGAGGCCGGCCTGGGGTCGCTCGGGCCGAGTGGCAGGAGAGAGGTGTGACTCCCGGAGGTGGCCTCGGCTGCCGTGCGGAGCCGCCTCGGCCGAGCCTCTGCTCGGTGGACATCCTGCGAGAGGGCGTCCGGGTGGACACGCGTGTGTGCCGGCCGCAGCTTCTGCACGTGGGCGTGGGCCTGCGGAGGCCGAGCGGCCACGTGCTCGCGGGAGTTCCCGGAGCGCTCCCACGCGCGGGCCTCGGCCCTGGCGCCTTTGGGAATGAGGCCGGGTCAGGTGGCGAGGCCCGGGTGAATTACGGTGCTGTAAACCGGTGAGAGCAATCACAGGTCTCTTAAAGATCTTACTTTGTTCACACTCCTTACACATCTGGGTGCAGCCTATTAGAAAAAAAAACTATGAAATCCTGTGATGCACAGGACCAACCTACTGCCCAAAGGAAAGGAATTGGCAGCTAAAAATTAGGCATTACATAGTTCAGGAACAATGCCCCAACATAATGGGTCCATTCTGAGAGATAATACTATTCCAAACCGTCAAGCATGGGTCTTGAACGTGTGATTTTCTAAATATATTTTTAAGGATTTATTTGAAAAGTAAATTTACAGAGAAATAAAAAGAGACCTTCCATGTGCCAGTTCACTCCCCAGATGGCTGCAACGGCCAGAGCTGTGCTGATCCAAAGCCAGGAGCCTCGAGCCTCCTCACGATCTCCTACGTGGGTGCAGGGTGTCAAGGCCTTGGCTCATTGTTGCTTTCCCAGGCCACAAGCAGGGAGCTGACTGGGAAGTGGAGTAGCTAGGACACGAACCGGTATCCATGTGGGATGTCAGTGCCACAGGAGCAGGGTTAGCCTATTGAGCCACCATGCTGGGCCCTGAACATGCAATTTTCACCTAATCAGTTTCACACATTCTGGAAGCTTTATATATAGGTAAATATGCATAATATATGTATATACACATGTGTGAAGTTATATATATGATGTGTACATATGTGCATATATTTATAAATATAATTAACCTGAATTTGGCAATTCCTGATCTTTGAATTCAGACGTGTTCCCCTGGGGCTCATGGGGAGGGTTGGTCTTCCTTTCCTGAAATGGCTCCCAGTTGTCGGCCTGGACAGCTGGCCTTACATGCTCACTCATGCTCTGTAGCCATGGGCTTCTCTAACAACACAAGGGCACCATGTCCCAAAGCCAACGGCTGTTCAGCTCTGAAGGTCAGTGGGAAGCCGCCGCCCAGTGAGGTGGCTTGTCAGGGACACCGTGGGATGTGGGGGACAGCTGGACCAACTCAGGCTCACAGCACAGTTTTCCCTGGGCGTGGGTAGTGCATGGGACATCATCATGGGAGGCCCCACCATGAGGGTGCCAAGGCTCTCACGGTGCCCTCTGCTAACAGGCCCTGGAGTTCTGCTTTAGAAGGTGACCTGCAGCTTTTACCTTCTGCAGAGCGACGCTGGGGAGCACTGAGCCTCCTGGGTCTGCAGGGACAGAGAGCTGACCGAGGCACAGCTGACACAGAGCAGCGACCTGGGCCGCAGGGGCTTCCTCGGCCGACTCAGCCGTCAGTTTCTCTGTTTTCTCTTGACTCATTCCCAGTAGCTTCTTTTCCAAACGTTGTGATGAGCATCCCTGCGATTCCTGGAGCTGATGCATGGAAGAGGGCTGCAGGCAGGACAGAGTGGACACGTCATGTTCGAAAGCGCAGTGTCCTGCCCAGCCTCCAGCCTGTGCTTGCCAGGAGCTGCCCGAATTGCAAAAGACAGGCTTAAACTAGGATACACTGCTCTGCCTGTTGGCTTCTCCACTGACAAGATCCTGTGCAAAATGTGGGTCACATAGGTGCACTGCAGGCTTCCCCGGAGCTGAGCTTGGCTTTGTGTCCTCTGTCCGAGCTGACAGTGCTCATGCTCTGGTGTCCCCCATCCCCAGACATTTCCAGGCCTCCCTCCAGTTCCCTCCTTAATTGCACTTTCACCTTCTGCCTCTCTTTCTCCAGAACCTTCTGTCAGTACAAAGCATGGCCCATGTAGACCTGAAATGGCAAAGACACAAAGATCACCTGCAGCGCCCAGTACCTGACGGAGAGATGGGGAAGGCCCGGGCGCAGCGTGCGTCCCTGCAGCCTGGCTGCTGGGTGTTGCAGAGGAAGCCAGACTGCTCATCGGCCCACACGTCTTCAGCTGCTACACCCAGAACGAGCATTCAAAACGTGATCAGGACAGGGAGCCAGAGCTTTAGCTCGTGGTACAGTGGATGGGAGCTTCCTCCGAATACCTCCCGGGACACTCAGGCCCCCGGGTTTATTCAGCCACCATCTCATCCCTGCACCCTGTCAGAAAGGAGGCAGCTGTGTTCTACTCTGAAGGGAGTACTGTTGGGTGAAGCCAACCTGCAGCCAAAACACCAACATACCATCGCCCGTTCATAGGCTGGTTGCTTCGTTTTTTTCCCTAAACAACACTGATCATCTGATACCAAGAATGTATGTCATATGTCAGGAACTTTAAATGAAATATGTTTAGACATCATAAAGCAGGTTTAAGATTTATTTATTTATTGGAAAGTCAGATATACAGAGAGGAGGAGAGACAGAGAGGAAGATCTTCTGTCCGGTGACTCACTCCCCAAGTGACCGCAACAGCCGATGCTAGGCTGATCCGAAGCCAGGATCCAGGAACTTCTTCCAGGTCTCCCATGTGGGTGCAGGGTCCCAAAGCTTTGGGCCATCCTCGACTGCTTTCCCAGGCCACAAGCAGGGAGCTGGATGGGAAGTGGAGCTGCCAGGATTAGAACCGACGCCCATATGGGATCCCGGCACATGCAAGGCAAGGACTTTACCCGCTAGGCCATGCTGCTGGGCCCCCATAAAGCAGTGCTTTAAAAAAGGAAATACCTGACAGAGAAGTATGCATGACCTGTATTAAACAAAATAACAGGAGGCCTTGCAGTGGCACATCAGGCTTATCCTCTATGCTCTGGTACTGGCATCCCATACAGGCATCAGTTCAAGTCCCAGCTGCTCCACTTCCAATCCAGCTCTCTGCTTAAGGCCTGGGAAAGCAGCAGAAGATGGCCCAAGTCCTTGGGACCCTGTACCCACATGGGAGATCCACAAGAAACTGCCGGCTCCCAGCTTCAGATCAGTCCAGCTTTGGCTATTGCAGCCTTTTGGGGAGTGAACCAGCGCAAGGAACACGTCTCCCTCTGTCTCGCCCTCTCTCTCTGTAAAAATCTACCTTTCAAATAAAAATAAATAAATCTTAAAAGAAAAATGTTTTAAGAGAAAAAGAATGGAGCAACAAGTTGGCATTGTGGCACAGAGGGTTAAGCCACTGTCTGCAACAAGGGCGTCCCAAATGAGTACCAGCTCATGTCCCAAGCTGCTCCATGTCCAGTCCAGCTCTCTGCTAGTGTCCTTGGGGAAGCAGTAGAAGGTATCCCAAATACTCGGGCCCCTGCACCCTCTGGAAGACCAGATTGGAGTTGCTGGTTCCTTTCTTCAACCTGGCCCTGCCATTGTTGCCATTAGGAAAATGAACCAATGGATATAAGATACCTCTCTCTCTTCCCCGCCCTCCCATAACTCTGTCAAGTAGATAAAATAAAAAATAGAATTGCAATAGTCCCTATCAGAGAAGAGTCACCTTACTTAGCTGAAGTTTATTGACGTATTTTCTTCTTGTTTTCTGGAAAGGTTTCTAAGACAACTGACTTGACTTTATAAGCCTATTATTACTGATTATTTTATATAGATGTAATCAAAGTTGGTGATTTTTTTAAATGTATTTTTTTATTTTGAATTTAGAATTATGTGGTACAATTTTGTATAAGCTGGGATTCCCCCTCAAACTCCCACCCCCGCCAGATTATCCCCATTTTGTTACAATAGTGTAGTCCTTCATAAAGAATCATAATTCTATTAGTTGGTGATTTTTAAAATCTCATTGACATTTAAAAAGGAATGTGCTTCATTTGATAATTCCACCACATAACAACATTTAATGAAGCAAGAGCAAACACATCTGGCTCACGGTAAAAGAATTTTAAATCCACATTTAAATATCTAAATTCCAGAGGTTTCTTTCTGGGAGTTGATGAACATTTCCAGAAATCCATTTCAGGAATATTTATCAGTATTTATAGAATTTTCACACCATATTATAAAAAAAAGTATCCAAATTTTTATCATGTCAAAATGAACTTGAAGAATTCTCAGCTATTTTATGGTCTTAGAATATTCTTAGATACTACTTGAAATAAACTGATCATGGATATGGTAGTATTATAGAAATTTCTGTTGGATCACTGTTTGACCTACTTAGACATGCAGCTGATTTCTTTGTTTAAGGGAACAGCTAGGCACATTATAATTTAACTGCTTGCACTATCAGCCAAAATGGATTCCATAGTCAGATTGATATCATAGGAACTGTACCCCCGAGGAAAGAAAAGAGTGAATGTCTTCTGCTTTGAAATGTCACACAAATAGTAGGGCCCAGTAGCTGTAAAATTGTGTCCATCACAAAAAGCCCGTGGGGCAGACACTGGTTTCCTGCATTTTGCATGTCTTGGTTTTACCCACGGCCACACAGCTGGAGCTGACACTCAAAGTCCTGATGCGTGTAGCACTAGAATCAGCCTTATTTTCAAACTGTGATTTTTCTCTCTGGGAAAGCATGAAATTTGCATTTAAAAGTTAAAGACAGTTGTTTTTTTGTTAAAAATGTATTTGTTTAATTTAGCAATGTCGGTGACAATTTTGGCTTTCTACTAAATGGCTTCAGTTCCTTTTTTAAGACTTTGTACATTTCCTAAGCCTTGTGACACATGATACGTCTAAAATTTAGTTATTTGCCTCAGAGAAAGTTTCTGTTGACTTACTAACAGTCACATACTGTGACCTAATAATGCGAAACACTTCCAGATGTAAGCAAACATGTTTATTATGTTATTGTTTCTAATAGTGCTAAACTGAAAACATCCAAAATAATTATCAACTCAGAGAAGATCAATAAAATAAATAGTGGTGAAAAAGACTGGAATACTGTGTGACCTGTAACGTGAGTATAGACCAGTACAAAAGACGTTTGACATGTTGTGTCAATGAAATTCATACTAAGAGCCCTGTTATAAATTTACTCATAGGTAGAGATACATAGATAACTAGAAGTTATTCATTAAAATAGTAACTGTGGTTATCTCTGGATAGTGTAATTACCATTGACTTCATCTTTTATAACTGCATATATTTTAATTTTCCTCATGACCACCGTAGTCATCACAAAAAGAAATCAAAAATTTTTTTGGTTTAAAGAACAAGAATATAGTATATACTAAAAGCAGGAGCACTATTATTCAGCTACGAATGAAAGCTTTCATAGCACATGACATGAAAATGAGTATACTTAAACACAGCACGATAGAAGTCACACATTTTAAGCAACTTTCTTAATTAGCTAAGCAAGAGAAATTAACAAAAACCTTCTTTAGCTTGAGTAAATCTGAGAAGTCACTCACGCCTGGAAGTGAGTCCGTGGCCATCTTCACCTTGACCTCTGGACATGCGCCCTGCCCACGGCAGAGCAGGGCCAGTTGCGGGCAGTTCAGGGGGTCAGCCAGTAGCTGTAATCTTTTCCCTTTCTGCTCATTCTTGCTTCTGATAGTTGCTTCTAGTAGACACTTGCTCAGCAGTGTCCAATAGAACTTTCTGCAACAGTAAAATTAATTTTCATGCTGTCTGGTAATGTGGACACCTTCTACATGTACCATGGCTTGCCTATCGCAGTGACTGAAATTGTAATTAATTTTAACACAAGTTTAAAGAGCTGCATGTGCCTAGTGGCTAATTTATTGGACATCACAGGTAAAGAATGTTTCCAATAGTCCTAATAACAGTACAGTCAATCAGAAGATGTCAATTTAAAGCACCAGGAGGTAGGAGTGTGTGTGTATAAGAATCATTTTTGGAAATGGGGATATCCAATAAAATATAGCCATAATGTCAATTTAAAAGCACGAGGAGATAGGGGTGTGTGTATGTGTTTAAGCATCATTTTTGGGATTGGGGATATCCAATAAAACATAGCCATAATGAAACAATACCTTCTTGATCATCAGAACAAATAATTAGTGGGTCATGTCCAATTTCATGGTCAGATAAATCCTGTTTCTCTGTTACATTTTCTCTTAGTAGCACAGCATTATACTCTGGGGCATTGGTCTCCTCAGAGATAGTGGCCAGCCAGGGAGGGGTGTCCCTGAGGGGGCAGTTGGCCATGGCTGATGAATAGTTCTTTCCTGACCCCTTTTGCCAATTAATAATGATTTTTCAGGGGCAGCCATGCAGTGGCAGGAGCTTAGTCTACTATGTGGGAGGCCTATATCCCATACCTGAGGGCCAGTTCAGTCCCTGGATCTTCTGCTTCTGGACCAGTTTCCTGCAAATGTGCACCCTGGAAGGCCCAACCAGATGATGGCTCAAGTAGTTAGGCCCCTGCTGCCCATGTGGGAGACAAGATGGCGTTCTGGGCTTGTGGCTTTGGCCTGGTTTGTCCCTGGATATTGTGGGCATTTGAGAAGTAAACCAGCAGATGGAAGATTGCCATCCCCTTTCTCTCAATGAAAATAAACTTCTCAGGGCCCGGCGCAATAGCATAGTGGTTAAAGTCCTTGCCTTGCATACCCGAGATCCCATATGGGCACCGGTTCTAATCCCAGAAGCCCTGCTTCCCACCCAGCTTCCTGCTTGTGGCCTGGGAAAGCAGTCGAGGATGGCCAAAGGCCTTGGGACCCTGTACCCACATGGGAGACCTGGAGGAGTTCCTGGCTCCTGGCTTCAGATCGGCACAGCACCAGCTGTTGTGGTCACTTGGGGAGTGAATCATCGGATGGAAGATCTTCCTCTCTGTCTCTCCTCCTCTGTGTATAACTTGCCAATAAAAATAAATAAATCTTATTTTAAAAAAAAGAAATTTCTCAGAGTTACCTTTCAGATTAAATGTAAGCATTTATATATACATGTCTACTCTATAAGTTACATATGTGCACACATAAATTATTAATAAAAACCTGGAAATGATTCAGCCTAGAGAAATATAAATTTGTAAAATATACTTATTTACTTTTACTTGCAAGTTACAAAGAGATTTTTTTAAATAAAGGTTTATTTATTTTTATTACAAAGTCAGATATACAGAGAGGAGGAAAGACAGAGAGGAAGATCTTCCATCCGATGATTCACTCCCCAAGTGACCGCAATGGCTGGAGCTGAGCTGGTCTGAAGCTAGGAGCCAGGAACTTCCCCCAGGTCTCCCACACGGGTTCAGGATCCCAAAGCCTTGGGCTTTGGCCGTCCTCAACTGCTTTCCCAGGTCACAAGCAGGGAGCTGGATGGGAAGTGGGCTGCCGAGACTAGAACCCGCACCCATATGGGATCCCTGGCGCATCCAAGGCGAGGACTTTAGCCGCTAGGCCACGGTGCCAGGCCCAAAAGCCAACATTTTATATGTCTATATTTGATTAGCTAAAACAGAGACTTTTCTTAGTTTAGGTATATCATGCTTAGAGAAAGTTGTAACGTGGACACCTTCGGTCTGCTCTCTGAATGTATTTGCCCCTCTGCAGGTGTAGAACAATTTCAGTGCCGTTATTGCAGTGCAGGAGTCAGCCCTGCAGTAGAATCTCTCTCCCTTTCTGCTTATTACAGATAGAAGAAAGTCTGCAAGGACACACGCCAGACGCTTGGCCATGGTCATTGCCAGGAGAAGAGAGCAGGTCCGCGGCAGCATGGCAAAAGGAGCATTTGTCTTTTGCATTTCTGTTTGAATCTTTGCTTAAGCCAAAACATACTCACATTCTCATATTTTAATTTTTCTGGTAAATCCCAAACCAGTTTTCTCAACGTGCTAGAATACCAACTGTTCTCACTGCATCGGATGAAGTGCATGCTCTCCTTCCAGATGATCCACAGCTACCATTTTAGAAAACGGGAGAAATTGGCAGTCTGGATTCCATACAGGGAAAGGAGACAGGCGTCTCAGCCTCTAGAGGTGACATTGGCGCCTGATGCAGATGGAGTCTTCCCCTCCTAGGGGAAGGATGAGAATCATATCACAAATGGGAATCCGGAGAGCCCAGGTATCCAGCTAGCACCACGGGCCCAGTTCCAGGTGCCTTGGAAACGCAGACCTACCAGAGAAACTTGAACGAACATCCCAGGAAGCGCCAGGGCTCCAGTAAGTTCTTCCTACCATTCATGGAGGAGCGTCAGATCAGAGAGTTTCTTTTCAATGCTGCTAGGATACTAACATCTTTAATATTTGGCAGATACATTGTGGGTGGACCAACAAGGAAGAATACAGGGTTTCCAATCATGTTTCTTTATGTTTCAATTCTTCTCCTTTCAGACAAATGCTCAAGTTTTGAAAAGGGTTTGCAGATCCTCCTATCTAAGGTACTTTGCAGGTTTGTTAAGATCAGTGAAAGCATCTACAAAGCTCCTTCAACAGTAGTCATCTATTTAAACACGGTCATCAAGAGTCGGACACAAGTATGGGAAATGTTTATTGCCAGCATAGTGCATTATTCACGGATGCCGTCCAGCCATCTGCAACACAGACCTGCCAGGACAGCACGTTTCCCTTTGCAGACTACACGCATACCAGATGCCTGAAGGAGAGCCAGCCTCGGGCTGTCTGTGCCCCTCTGTCCTCTTCCTCTTCCTTCACATCCAGAAGCCCCCTCCTGCCACCCAGAGTTCCTTGTGAGTCCTCCTTTCAAAACTGTTAGTATTTGCTGGGACTTCTGTTTCTTCATTAAGAGTTTTCCATCCTCCTCCCTACCCAGATGGCTCTTTTATTATTTGATTTATGTGAGAGGTAGGTCAGTTTGCTGGAGATAGGAAAATGTTGAACAATACAGCAAATACGACACAAGCTAAATAAGCAGCAATTGCTATCCAAAACCTCGGATCTTTCAGCAGTGCCTGATCGAAGCAGCTGAACACAGTGTAACCTATGGACATGCCAGCAAATCCACCTGCAACGTGAGCTGCGAAGGACACCTTTGGAGAAAAAAGAAAGGAGATGGGTGGAAATAAATGAGGAAAATATTTGTTACCTATTTCAGCTGTACCTCTCTTACTCAAAACCCAAATACCCTCACAGTCAAAGATTTTGGAAGTCTAGATAACTAGATGGTAAGGCAGCAAAGATAACAAAGAAAAAGATTTCTGGAAACCATGCACAGGGCCTAGTGTTGTAGTAAGCTGTGGCCACCACACTAACAACCCATATCTGAGTACAGGTTCAGGTGAGACCTGGTTAGGGTTCTGGGTTCCTGGCTTCAGCCTGGACCAGCCCTGGCCCTTGGCATCTACTGGGAGTGAGAGACTATGCATATAATCTCTCTTGCTCTCTTTCTCTCTTATTTTGCTTTCCCAACAGATAAGTCTTAAAAATAAATAAATCATGCGGAGCTGAAAAATAGCATTTTCAACCATTTAGTGACAACGCGAGATGAAGCCATCGCTGCTCATTCTTGCTAGTCATGACGTTTGGGGTGGCTCTGGTTAATACCAAGCAAGAGTAGGAGCTGAGGGGCCATGAGTGATCTCTGAGGAACATTATTTGATCCCACAAATGCATCAGAGCTAAAATGTAAACAATCATGTACAGTTACAACAGAAACTAACAAATGAAAGACTGAAGGTATCAGTTGTCCCTATGGTATAAATTGAATGGACCCAGATCGCCATTGCTTGTCTCCCATCTGCGGGTTTTTTCCTCTATGAAAAGGAAAGCCCTCTCTCCTGATGGCGTAGTCCCCACACAGCAGGGCCAGCTCAGCAGAGCCCAGAGGACAGGGACGGGGAGCAGGAGCTGAGAAGCACAGTTCACAAGTATGATTTCTCAGGAATTTTCTTAACTTACAAATAGAAACGTGATCTACATTGCAGAGTTCTAACCCTTATGTAGTGACTTTCTTTATTTTAAAAACAAGAAACTGAACTCACCGGAGACCCATTTTCAGGAACAAAGAACCTTCTGTAGAGAGCAAATCCCATGTCCGATGCAACTAGAAGAAAAAACACCTTGATGAAGCCCACAGCAGCGCACCAGGATTCTTTGGTTCCTGTCTAATAGTAGTCGCAGTAGTGGCAGAGCAGCAGCAGCAGCAGTAATAGAAGCGGAAGCAATAGCATGTGTTGAGACTCTTGCTGGGTGCTGTTCTAAGGGCTCATGAGTTCTTCCCACAGCCTCCTGAAATGGATGCCATCCTCTTCCCACTTTACAAATTCATTTCCTCTGGCACTGATTGCCCTCTGTATGCCAGGCACTGTTCTAGGCAATAGATACACAGTAATGAACAGAAGAACAGACCACACTGAGTTAAGTCTTGCGGTAGGAGGCATACAAGTCAAGCACAGTATATCTAATGGTGCTAAGTGCTATGGAGAAGATACAGGGAGGAAGGCGGATGGGAACACCAGGAGTAGCAGATGCTATTTAAGAAAAGAGTCGGGGAGGATCCTTGGCTATGTTTGACATGGGATGGAGAGAAGGGAGCAGGCCATGCTGATGAGTGAAACAAGAACCTTACAGACAGAAGGATAAGCAAGCATAATGTCCATAAGACAGGAATGTGCATAGTGTAGGGGAGAAATTCCAGAGCAGCTGGCCTGGCGGGAGCCATGGTCTTCGAAGTGAGATCCTCCACTGAGACCAGCAGCATCCAGCATCACTTCAGACCCTGTAGAAATGGAAACTTCCAGACCCTCCCCAGACCTGCGATCCAGGAGCTCTTGAGAGTGGAGCTTAATATTCTACCATTTAACAGGAGCTCGGGGTGATTCTGGACGAAGGTTGGGAATAAGGTGGCAAGTGATGAGGCCAGGCAGGTAGTGGAGGACAGCTCATGCAGGAGCCTGGTGGACCACGGTAAGGATCTTGAGTAAATAGGAAGTGTGCAAAAGCTTCTAGTCAGACTTGTTTCAAGAGATGGTTCTGACTGCCCTCCTTGAGTTAGGCTAGAGGAGAGAAAGAACAAGAAATCATCTAGAAACTTTTTCTTACTATAGTGCTGAGTAACAACGGTTCTATTTTGTGCTTAAAACTCCAACATGAGTGCTCCACTCTCATCCACTGTACCAACTGCCTCTGATCGGCATCAGGAGTTCTAAAGATGGGCCAGGAAAGGGAGTGCATTCACATTCGACTGTGGACCCACAGAACCTCCCTGCAAGAATCTTCAGACTGTACTGCAAGAGCGAGTTTCCAGATCTCTCGGAAGAATTCTGCCCTGCATGAACCACACTTGGAAACATGTCTTATACACGCTGTACTCATCCTTCCAGCTTCGGAGCCATCGTGCCCCATGAGATCCTGAGAGCTAGTGTTTGCCTTTGGGCAAAGAGCAGGGGGACCGTGTGTTCTGGCAACTTTCCCTTGGAGTCACTGCACAGAAATTAAGGTCGAAGAGTATTCAATATTAATTTAATTGTAAACAACTCTTCCACCGAAAGCCAGATAGATGCAGCTCTATCTCACACTTTCAGTCACTGGCCTTTCCAGATGCAGCCGGAGGAACACACCAGTGGGGCTACAAAAGGCTGACAGAAACCTTGGCCCAAGAGCAGAGCAGACTTGACACTGAAGTTGCTTTTGGTCCTTTGTTCACCCTAGGCCTGCTTGCTCTCAAACACTGCAATCAATGGAACGTAAATTTCCTCTTGTTTATCTTGCAAGCTTGATGTATCACTGCAGTTCTTCACTCATGAAAAATTTGCTCCTGGTGTGCCACAACCTCTAAACTGGGACACCCCCTCACCCCCCTTCCCACAGTTCTCCTAAAATGAAGCCTTTAGTTCAATAAGCCAAATCATTATTCTCATTGAAAATCTGGGACTCATTTGAAGAGTCACCTTTATGTGGATTTTTTAAAGATGAATATGTGACATTCCCATAACTTTCCTCAAAAAGAAACTCTGTTGCTTAGTTGGAAAACATATCCCACAATTAATGCTTGAAGAAAGAAGGTACTTAAGGCCAACTGTCCTTCACATTAAGGATAAAATTGTAAATGTTTACCATTTAAAACAAAACAATGGGGCCCAGCGGTGGCACAAGTGGTTAAAGGTCCTCGCCTTGCACGCCCGGGATCCCATATGGGCGCCGGTTCTAATCCCGGCAGCCCCGCTTCCCTTCCAGCTCCCTGCCTGTGGCCTGGGAAAAGCAGTTGAGGACAGCCCAAAGCTTTGGGACCCTGCACCCACGTGGGAGACCCGGAAGGAAGTTCCTGGATCTGGGTTTCGGATCGGCATAGCATCGGCTGTTGCGCTCACTTGGGGAGTGAATCATCGGACGGAAGATCTCCCTCTCTGTATATCCGCCTTTCCAATGAAAAAATATTAAAAAATAAATCTTTAAAAAAAAAAAAACAATGGGGCAAGTTTTTACATAGCTGTCAAGACACTGGTACCCCATGTCAGAATAACTGGGTTCAACTCCCAGCTCCCATTGCTGACTCCAACATCTGGCTGCTTCAGGAGGCAGGGGTGATGGCTCAAGTGTTGGGCTCCTGCAACTTTCGTGGGAGACCTGAATTGAGTTCTTGGCTCCTGGATGTGGCTCAGCCTAATCTTTGTCATTGTGGGTGTTTGGGGAGAGAGCTGTATGGAAGCCCTCTCTCCTTCTCTCTCCCCTACCCTTTCCATCTCCCTCCCTTCCTCTCAAATAAATGCATAAAGAAGCAAAAATAGCATCTATCCTCCCAAGGATTTGGGTTTCAAATAAAATGTATTTGTATTCCTTGATTTGTATTTAATCAACCTTGTATATCGTGATGGGAAACAGCAGACTGATGGCTAGCACCCCACTTGTTGGGTTAACTGACAGCAACGGAAACAGGTTCCACGCCCTGCCTACCTTCTGCACCATTCAAGTTAATGGACAGCACAGAAATGGCTCTGGAGGCTCTGTGTACCTGGTCCCTGCTGCCTTCTCTTAGGGTAGACTAGTTAACAACAGGAAAACTTTGGGCTCCGGCAGCTCCCTTCCTGCCTCCAGCACTTAGTAATTGAACACATGGGAAACTGTTCTATACAGCTCTCAATCTGATTGGAGGATAAGAGCTAAAACAAAACAAAACCCTGAACTCTGCCGTGAGCCACAATAGCTCCAGAAGTTTAGCTGGAGCTGTCAGCAAACTTGGGCAATACAGACTCTTCATAATATCCTATACCTGAGTCCCTTGTGCTCTTTCTTGTACTCCACAATATTTTGCACTCTTCATTTACGACAATGGGGAAACCGAACTATAAAGAACTTTTCTAAATGCCATGTGCCAGGGGTAGGGGAAGGTAAGCTAGCAGAAAACATGCGTCATTCAGTGACACCAGTTCTTGCCAGTCACATTACACAATCTTCGCTCCAACATTCAATAGCATTAAAGAAGACTGCTGAATTCATTTCCTTATATATAACTTGAGGGTTATTTTACCAAAGTCACTCTTAATTACCTAAAAGAAGTGGATTGAGTGGAGCCTTGGGGAACTTGGAGGATGACACTGGTTCACCCCTGGGTGAGCAAGAGTGGCACATCTACAGTGGCTTTCCTAGCTCCCAGATGCTCCCTCTCCCATCTCTGCTGAAAATTTTCCCTTGTCTCTTGGGTTCCGTGTGGGAAAACAAAAACAAAAAACCATACATTACAAATAGGTGTTTAACATTACCTCCAAGTGAAATAACTGCTGTTGTTAAAATCAAATGGTTTAAAACATAAATGGAGTCTCTCCCCAAAGAGGTAGTGGCCCCTCCTGGTTCCCATAATATGGATAACTGAACCCTTAATGCCAAGTAGCAGAATCAATTATTTTCCCTACTTCGGATAGCCAGAATCCCAAACTCAATATAGTGCCACCTCCAGCATGGCTTTGAGGTCTGACCCCAGGGTCCATCCATGGTGGCTACAGTTCACCTGGAGCAGGTTCACACCAACAGGAGTCACCACCCTACTCCTGCTCTTCCCTTCTGCTGCCTTGCCTGGCCTGCCAACAGCCCAAATCTATCCTTGCTTTCAGACTCAGCTAGCATTTCAATCTCTCTCTGGATTGGGCATTCCTCCTGAACTCCTTCAGCATACAATTCTAGAATCGTTGGAGATTTCTAAAATCTAACCGCTGGGCTTCTCACTTCCTTGATCTCCTTTTCCTCCTCACCAAGTCCTTGCCTATGTTCTTAATTGTTGTGGGCTAAGGAGTTGATTAGTGCTTGTTGGAATGGGCGGGAACAGGAACTGGACTTGTGGCTAAAAACACCTAGACTAATTGGACTCATCTATATCCAATATCCTGCTAAATGAGGACGTGGGGGTGGGGGGTGGAGTATGTAAGGAGAGGTGAAGGAGCAATAAAGGGAGGTTTCGCAGAGACTTCTACCATCACGGGTCTCCTGTCAGTGCTTCATCCCCAGACCCTCTCCCTGTCCACGTTACTGGCTCTGTTGGCTGGAGTACTTAATCAATCATGAGGATTTAAAATTTTACCTTAAATCTTAAAACTGGGAACTGGCACCATAGTATAGAAGCTTAAGGCTCTACCCACAGTGTTGGCATCCCACATGGATGGAAGACCCTGGAAGATGCTTTTGGCTCATTGCTTTAGGCTAGCCCAGCTTGGGCTATTACAGCCATTTGGGGAGTGTACCAACAGATGCAAGAGCTCTGTCTCTCCTTCTCTCTAAGTAACTCTGTTTTTTAAATAAAAATAAAATCTTTTTTAAAAAAATTTAAAAACTGAGGAAGCAGACAGATCGCATCCATGTTTTCTAAGCTTGCCCTTTGCTGACAAATCACCTGCAAGTTCCAACTATGAAAGCAGAAGTCTAGCACGTGCGTCCTAAGGGAAGCTATGGTAGTTGAAGCAGAGGGAGAGCAGCGCTCCACTCCAGAAGGAAGCAGAAAGCGAAAGCACATACATCACCTAGGCGCCTCTAAGTGCCACCTGTCAGGGTCTGTGAAACTCCCTGGCTCGCCCCTGTCTGAGCAGGGCTCTGAGGGGACACCCCAACAGTGTCTGGGAAGGCTTTCAGAAGGCTGAGCTGCTCAAGGCCAAAGTGTGAGGTGTTTGGGAAACACACTTACTTATGAGAATGATGATCAGTAGTCTGATAATTCCAAACGCAGGAATCATTTCTCGAAAATTCTTGTAAAGAGAAAAATAATAGCAACATGAACCATTTATCGGTAAATGAAAGCCAAAACCCACTCCTTTGTCAGAGTGTCAGATATTTGCAAAACAAAGCATGGGTCCCACAATATAACGTGTAACTGCATGACGTAAACCAGATTCAATTTGATTAGCTAGAAACAGCCTAACTCATATAAAATCAACACTTTCCATGTCCATAAGCAGATGAACAAATGCTGTCAAACTAAGTCTATTTCTTCATCCTCTTTTCCAGTAGACATTGGCAAAGAAAGATAAAATTAAGAAGGAACTTAGATCACATTCTCACTCGCTCTGAGCTCTTAGATCTTCCTCTCTGTCTCTCCTCCTCTCTGTATATCTGACTTTGCAATAAAAATAAAATAAATCTTAAAAAAAAAAATTAAGGTGCTGAAATAGCTGTGTTTACTACAAATTATTTTCTAGCTGGACAATCATAACCTACACTAAAAAGTAATTTGCATCACAATTCATTAACACACAAAGCCAACAGTACTTACAAGCCATTATTTTTTTCCTCTGATTCAATTTTGGGGCCACAGTAACTTTTATTTTTTTAATATTGTTTACACAGTTGAGAGGGTCACACAGCCAAGAGCTCATGTGGGGCTCTGATTACATGGGGAGGGTCGAAGTATGGAGGAAGGTGGGTAGGACAAATGTTTCAGTTCTTTTTCATGCTTCTGAACTGCTGGGAATGGAGAGGGGACTTCTTACTGTCAAACTACACCTGGGGCTGGGTGATTTGATTGTGTCTTAGAGATCCTGATGAGGGTCACAGCCCCTTAAACTAAATCACTCGCAGTTGCAATTCCAAGTTTAAAAAACAATCTCCAAGCGACTTCTGGATTATAATCACTTGTTTTTTTTTTTTCTCCTTTTACAGTATTTGTCAAATATAGCTAAAGGACTAAAGGGCTAAGAAGCAGCCAGGATCTCAGCCTGACACATCCTACTCAAGGCAGTATAAACACCAGCCTTAGAGGGCAAGTTGGCAGATACAGAGAACAATAGATACGTTCCTTACAACATTGTACATAGGCCAAGTGCAAATCACCACGTTTCCTCCCTGGAGCAATTCCCTACCTAGTCAGGGTGCGGCGCCACGGAGAATCCACTTCCATTTTCCTAGTTTAATACCACCAGGATTTGGAGGCCCAAGAGAAAAAGGCCTGAATGGGCATACAGTTATCAAACAAACACCACATGGAGGACCTTGACTTTCTTATTTTCCAAATTTAATAGCTTACTGAGTGCTCATGAATGTAGAGGTCAGGAAAAAAGGATAAACTGTGAATAGTGAACACTGTTGGTCAGAAGTCTGACATAGATGAGTACTCGGTGAACATGTCAATGCAAACTGCCTGAACCAGCAGCCACTCTAAAAACGAAACCAGAGCTCACAGACTCCATTCCTGAAGTTCTTACCACCAGAACATTCATGAAATAGCCTCCCATGAGAGCGTAGACGCCTCCCGAAGCCCCCACGAGAGATTTGAGTGGGTCAAAGATGGAGCTGGCCAAGGATCCTACGGAAACAAAACACAACTGGTCAGACGTGATGGAAAGCATCACAGACAATACGGCCACTTTGATATTCACAGGAACAAACTCACTCTATCCCCTTGAGAGTCAGTTGTTTGCTTCCTGCCTTGAGAGCCACGCCTAGGAAGGAAGGCTGCTTTCAAGAGCAGTTGGAGGATTCACAGGCCAGGCTGGGGGCGCCCCATGGGCTTGGGTTGGAGGAGTGCAAAGGGATGATGGGGCGGTGAGCCAGGAAGCGGAAGTGCAGAAGCAAACCTCAGCTCCCTCCTGTGTGCTCCCTGCTTCACGGGCCATCACAGCTCAGTCTTGAGGTTCCACCCAGGACGTAACCCAGTCTACCCTTCTCAAAGCTCCAACTTCTCACAGCATCATGGGTACATTCCATCCTTACTCCATCAGTCATGAACCCATTCATGGTCAGTGTAAAACTTTGAGGTGTAAGTCTCTGTGTGAATTTGAGGTAAACCAAATCCTGTACAAAACCTAATAAGAGAAGTCCAACTCTGTAGGTTAACTACCCAGCACGGTAGTGTAACAGGGACAGGAACAGAGACTGTGGAACCAGAATTACCAGCTGAGAAAGTGATTTTACCTCTCTGTGCCTCACTTTCCCTACCTGCAAAATGGGGCTATCCATAGAACTGACTTCATAGGCTGTCTATGGAACACTGATATGTTACTACCTAACACACATTGTACACTCTTTAGCTGTTACTTCAAAATATCCAACACAGTTAGTCAAAACTATCAAAACATCTGAGACATGCCAACATTTTATTATCCAGCTGCCATCTTTCCCATGCAACTAGTACGTGCCCTAAGGATGCTGCTCTTATCCCCCAAGCAAGACTAAACCTGCTCATTAACGCAACCCAAAATTTCCTGGACCCAAACAAGGCCTGGCAAAGTGTTTACATGCTCTCAGATGTTCTCTCTGCTCTGTTTAGTGCTATTGCTTGGTCTCTGTTGTTCACGGCCCCAGTTTATTCCTTCGGACACAATATAACACCTACTGAGGGGAACAAAGACAAAGTTTTAACCACAGGAATCTTAAAAATAGATGAGCAAACTATTCTTACAAACATCAGACTGCAGCAACTACAGGTATCCAAATTGAATGGATGTGCTGAGAGCTCTGAGGAAGGAATGGCTTTTCCCACACAGGGAGGTGGGAGCTCCGTTACCCTGAGGAGGAGGGGATCTGGGTGGGTGTCATGGGAGCAGACATTCAATATAGCAGAGAAAACCCCCCTTGGGATAGCCATATCCGCTGGTGGGGTGCCAGCCCCACTGCTGATTCCAGCTGGTGATGCTTTAGGTACTGAGGTGCCTGTCATCCATACAGGAAACCCAAATGGAGCTCTGTAATCCTGACTTTGGCCTGGCCCAACCCTGGCTGTTGTGGTCACTGGGGAGTAAACTAAAAATGGAAGAGTTCTCTGTGTCTCTCCTTCTCTGTCTGTAACCATCTTTCAAATAAAATAGGAAGGAAGAAATATCTTTTAATAGAGGTGGAAATACTACTTGTTGCTCACACTGCACCAGTGAGACCGAATTTCTACACTGGACCGCTTCCTAATGCACGAGGTACTGGAAGTGGAGCACAAGAGTGTCTGCACCCACGGTGGGACTAGCTGGCTGAGCATGACTTGAAACAGTTTCACTTGGGAAATGGTAAATCTAAAAAGGGTCAAAGTGCCTCCAAGTAACTAAGTTTCAGAACAAACCTAAAGAATTGTTACATGGATATAAAAAATATCCAAAAAAAGTATCCAACAAGGTAAGATAAAAACTGTCAAAACTTATCAGGCATGCAAAGAATCCAGAAAACAGCATATGCTCAAGAGAAAAATTGGTCAATAGGCAAAACCTGCCCAGAAGTAAGATGTAGCAGGCCAAAGCATTACAACTCTATATAGTGCCCAAAAATTGAGCACAGACATTTGGTATAAACTGGGCTCAAATTAAATTTCTAGAGATGAAAACAACGCTGACAATGAAAACAATAACCAGTGGGTTTAATGGTAGATTGGATACTGCAGAAGAAAATATTAATGCCTGTGACACAGTAAGAGAAACTATTCAAATGAAAATATATCGGAAAATATATGTATAGTGAAGATTTATGTTTTTTATTGGAAAGGCAGATTTACAGAGAGAAGGAGAGACAGAAAGATCTTTGATCTTCCGGTTCACTCCCCAAATAGCCACAATGGCCAGAGCTGAACCAATTCTAAGCCAGGAGCTTCTTCCAGGTCTCCCATGAGGATACAGGATCCCAAAGGTTTGGGACATCCTCTGCTGCTTTCCCAGATCATACGGAGAGAACTGGATGGGAAGTGGAGCATCTGGGAAACAAACTGGTATCCATATGGGATGCTGGTGCTTGGAGCTAGAAGATTGGCCCATTGAGCCATCAGGCCAGGCCCAAATCTTTCTTGTCTTGACCAATTGTCTCTGAGACTTCTTTCAAACTGCAGCTTAACTCCATACTCTCAAGGTTGAATGTGATCCCTAGGAAAATTATTCAAACTGAAGGCAAGGAACAGGTATTTGGCCTAGCACTTAAGACATCCCCTTGGGGTGCCTGGGTTCATACCCTGGTTCTGCTCCAATGCCAGTCTCCTCCTGAGGAGCATGATGGGAGATAGCAGGTGATGGCTCAAGTTGCTCGGTTTCTGTCACTCCCTGGGAGACCTGATCAGGGTCCTGATGTCCACCTGATTCAGCCACAGTCATTGTGGGCACTCAGAGACTAAATGAACAGATGAGAAATATCTTTGTCTCTGACCTCCTACCTCCCAAATAAATAAACTTTCAAAAAATTACAAAGTTTTTTTCAGATAAAAGCTGGATTCATAATTTATGAAATATAGAGATACGTCTAACCAATCAATTGGCCAGACCTAAACACTAACAACTATAAAACACAGTGTGAGGGATTTGGGAAGATATGTAAAAATGATAGTATTTATCTCCTTCATAGATTGGAAGGTTCAGTATTGTTAAAATGTCAGTTCTCCCAAAATTGATCTAAAAGTTCAACGTAATACAACTACAAATCTCAACACATCAATTTTTGTAGAAATTGAGAATCATTCATGAGGACATGTGAAGATCCTAAAATAGCCAAAACATGTTGAAAAAAATGAAAAGCAATAACGACATGCTGACACTTCTGCTTTCAAAACTTACTAGAAAACTTAGGTAATTAAGAAAGGTAGTTTGGCATCAGTGTTAAAATATACAAATACTTCAGTAGAAACAGAGCACAAAGTCCAGACATAAATTCACAGGTCCACAATGGCCATTGATTTCAACAAAGATGCAAAGGAATTCATTGGAAAAAGGACAGTCTTATCAGCAGGTGATGCTGGAACAGATACATACCAAAACAATGACACTTCAATCCATATCTTGTGCCAGCTCTAAAAATGAGTTATAGATCTTGCTATGACGTCTAAAATCATAAGACTTGCAGAAGAAAACATAGATGAGATTTTTATGTGTTAAACCAAATCTCTTTGATATGACACTAACAAGTACAATTCTTCAAAATGATAATTTAGATTTCATCAAAACTTAAAACTTCTGTTTTTCAAGAAAATGAAATGCTTTTAAAAACCAGACAGAGAACCCAGCACTGTGGCTTAGCAGTTAAAGTCAACACCTTGAATTCACCAGGATCTCATATGGAAACCGGTTCTAATCCCAGTGGCCTTGCTTCCCACCAAGTTCCCTGCCTGTGACCTGGGAAAGCAGTTGAGGACAGCTCAAAGCCTTGGGACTCTGCACCTGTGTAGGAGACCCAGAAGAGGCTCCTGTCTCCTGGCTTTGGATTGGCTCAGCTCCGGTTGTTGCAGTTACTTGGGGGAGTGAATCATCAGACAGAAGATCTTCCTCTCTGTATATCTGACTTTGCAATAAAAATAAATAAATAAATCTTAAAAAACAGTAACAACAACAAACAGAGTTCCAGGCCCCTGACTTCTGCTTGACCCAGCCCCAGTCATTGTGGCCATTTGGAGAATGAATCAATGGGTGGAAGATTTCTCACTCTATTACTCTGCCTTTCAAATAAATTTTTAAAAAGAAAATTAAAAAATTAAGCCACATTCTAGGAGAACATATTTGTAAGTTAGGTATTCCACAAAGAATTTATAACATATAATGTATACTACTACATACAATAATGAATATGCTCCAATTTTTAAAATGGACAAATGATTCAAACAGACCTTTACCGAAGAAGATATGCCATCATTAATCTCTTGGAAATGCAAATTCAGATTCACTGAAATCTCATGACTTCCTTAATAGAGCGGCTAAAACTAGCAAGACTTTCGGGTATGTGTAAGGATGCAGAAGAAAGGAATATTTAGTGAGAAGGAAAAATGGGTTCCACTTTGCTATCATCTGGCCTAACACTCCTACCCCTGGGTGTGTCCCCAAGAGAAATGAAGGCTTATATCCACAGATCATGGCAGTGTTATTTCGAATAGCTAACACATACGAACTATCTCAATAGCCATCAGCAGGCTGATGTTAAATCCACACAATGAAACACCACAAAAAGGAAGGAGCCAAGAATAATACATACAACCACAGAGATGAATGCTGAAAATACTATACCAAGTTTTTCAAAGCTATTCACAGACCAACAATTTGTATATATGTCAATTTCTGTGAAATGTTCAAAATGGGTACATATACAGACATGGAGGAATGCTTGGCCCAGAACATATACAGACATGGAGGAATGCTTGGCTCAGAGCTGGAGTGAGAATGTGGGGCAGAGGGTAAGGAATGACTGCTAATGGGTGCCGGATTTCTTTTCAGAGGATAAGAATGCACCGTGGTGGGGTTGGCACGGGTAGGCTAATCCTTCACCTTTTACAGGGGCATTCCCTGTGGGTGCCAGTTCATGTCCTGGCTACTCCACTTTTGAGACAGTTTTCTGTTTATGGCCTGGGAATGCAGAAGAGAATACCCACTTGGGAGACTCAGAGGAAGCTCCTAGCTCCCAATTTTGGGCCAGCTCAGCTCTGTCTGTGATGACCATCTGCGGAGTAAATGAAAACTCTGTTTCTCCTTCTCTCCTTGCAAAAGTCTTATCTTTCAAATAAAAATAAATAAAAATTTTTTTAAAAAAAGAATGCTCTTTGGTTTTGCAATGAGTAGTGTCTAAGTCTGTGAATTAACTAAAAACACATTGGGCTGTGTATACTAAGTGGGTGACTCACATGGCATATGAATTATATCTCAGTCAAGCCACTAAAATGGTTTCTTGGCTTGGGGACTGTGTTTGGCTTAGCAGTTAAGACACCCGTAACTCAGAGGACCTAGGTTTGAAATCCAGTTCTGGCTCCTGACTCCAGCTTCCTGCACGTGGGAACCCTGGCAAGCTAGTGATGATGGCAGCTCAACAAGAGAGCGGCAGACCTAGATGTGCTCGCTCTGGGCTTTAGCCCCTCCCAAGTCCCAGTCACTGTGGAGACTTGGGGAATGAACCAAATGATAAGAGCATGCTCTGTCAGCCAGGGCTAGGGTGGGACTGACCAGACAACTGCACCCACTGGGACATGTATTGGCTGGTGCAGGGGGCTGACAGAGCCTGACTACCTGGCACACAGGAGAGCAAGGTATGAAGACCTTCCAGGTAAGGTTTCTTAGGGGGTTCAACTAGACCGCTGCACTCAACTGCTGATCTCAGGGAGAATCACGTGTGGTCCAGTCTTGGAGCACAAGTGGCAGGATTGGGCCACCTCCATTGCTGAACCCGTGCAAAACTGGAGAGCACACCCAGATGCCAGAGGCACGTGAAAGACAAGACAGCCAACTCCTCTAAACCAACAGAAGACCTTGAATACCTCATCAAAAGATGCAAAGGACAATTTGAACAGCACTCCAGGCCAGGCTCTACAACAGGCACCTAGATCCACAGACACACTGAGGCAGGCAAGGATAGTCAGCAGACCTTAGAGAAAATTTTGCACCTCTGTTATAACAAAACTGACAACCTCTCAGAACCATCAAGATCCGCTCAAGGGACACCTTTGAAACATTCTTCCCCACACAGGGCTTGCACCATCTCCTCCTGGAGTGCTGCTACAGCATGACAGCAAGGAGCCACACACTTTGTCCCCTCCCCAACTGTCGTCTGTATGTGAGGAGGATGACCCCAGGTCCCACTGATAAGGACAGACTGGAAGGACAAAGTGATCTGTGCCCAGAAGCTCTTGTCAGAATTGGCAGAGGGTGTGAGCAGATAGTTCATGCTCCCCTTGGCTCTCCGCCTTCAGCTTTCTGGAACTGGGGCATGGCTGACAGCACAGGTGGAAACTAAACCCTGGGGCCCACAGGCATGTAGGTGCTGCAGCTGAACAGGGCCTGGCTATTGCAAAGGACTTTGGGAGGTCGGGTTGGAGAGGGCGCAGAGAAAAACAAGTGTGTAGAGGGAGAGAAGGTGGAAAAACAGGATCTGCAAATCAGGCAAAAGGAAGGCAGCTGGGTGCCAGTCTTGCTGATTGCATCTCTTTGACAGAGCTAAGAACTGCTCCTTGCTCTGGCTCTGCACTCTCAGTGCCCCTCTTGGGAACCCAGGCCCCCTGCTGGGCCCCTGAAGTCTAGGGGACTGACAAACTTGTGATCAGAGAAGCTTTAAACACGGTGATAGACCAAATTGTGACTCCTAAAAAGATTCCTTGAAGTCCTAATGTCCAGTTCCACTGGTCGAAATGACTTGCAACCAGGGTGGTTGTGGGTGTGGTCAATTACGATGAGGTCACACTGGGTTAGGTAGGGGCTACACATAAGGACAGGTGCGCCTCTGAGCAGACAAACCTCAGGGGAAGCAGGGTTGGGGCAATGCAGCCGCCAGCCAAGGAACACAAAGGAGAGACAGCCCTACTGGTAGGGGGACTCAGTGGCTGGGCAGCACTGCCCGCCCTGCCACCACCAAGGAGCAGGTCCCTGCTGGCATCATGATTTCAGAGGTTTTGTGGCCAGAAATGTGAAACTGCACATTTCCTCTTTCTTTCTTTCTTTCTTTCTTTCTTTCTTTCTTTCTTTCTTTCTTTCTTTCTTTCTTTCTTTCTTTCTTTCTTTCTTTCTTTCTTTCTTTCTTTCTTTCTTTCTTTCTTTCTTTCTTTCTTTCTTTCTTTCTTTCTTTCTTTCTTTCTTTCTTTTCTTTCTTTCTTTCTTTCTTTCTTTCCTTCTTTCTTTCCTTTCTTTCTTTCTTTCTTTCTTTTTCCCTCCCTCCCTCCCTCCCTCCCTCCCTCCCTCCCTCCCTCCTCCCTCCCTCCCTCCCTCCCTCCCTCCCTCCCTCCCTCCCGGTGCTTGAAGAGGAAGGAGTAGCCAATTCAGCTATCATACTAGGCCCAAGGTCACACATTCCCATTAGTTAAGCCACCCCTATGGCCACTCCAGCAAACTGTTACCACTCCCACAGCAATGGGAATCATTGATTTATTTATAAATCACATATATGCCAGGGGGCTTTGAAAGGCTTATGGAAAGGAGCAGGCATTTACCAAGTGGCTGAGACCCTGGTTAAGATACCCAAGTCCAGTCTCCTGGCTTTGGCCTGGCATTAAGGAGTGAACTGACAGATGGTAGATTTCTCCGTGTCTCTCTTGCCTTGCAAATAAATAAAAATATGCAAGGCTTCAGAAGCTAAACTTTAAAAATATATATTTCTAAAAAATAAATGGAGAAGAGTTCTAGTACATTCTTCCAACACCCCCTTGGATGGCACACCCGGGTTTGGAGATCACCACGCCAGGCTCCTAGTCCCACTCCATGACCTCTTTAGTTGTTCCCCACACTCTCAAAATTTGCGAATTTGCTCAAGTTGCCTCCCCATTTCAGCAGTCCAACACATAAGGGCTTCTGTGATCTGGCTTTGAATCTTAGGTTTAAGACTTGCAGGTTCCAGGGTCCCCTGTATGTGAGAGAGACCCAAGAACAGGTGCAATGGCTTGCTTTCAGGTGCTGAGCCACCTCTAATACCTGATCGCTAACATCTTTGGAGTGCAACAAATTCCCATTTCAATAAGGCAGGCATCCTTCTGACTCCACCCCAAAAGCCTGCAGGAGCTGGCCACATCGCCCTGAGGAACCGACCTGCAAGCACACCGGCCAGGTACACCAGCCCCACGCGGAGGCCTTTGTGGACCATTTCCAGGGGAATGCCCAGGACGAGCTGCATGAAGAGGTTGCCCACGATGTGCTGAACGCTGCGGAGACAAACACAGTCACAGATGCTCAGATGCCATCAACCTCTGACCCCCTGGGACCCCGAGGGCCTTGCCATCAACCATATCTCACGTGAACTTTCCAAATGTCAGAGACAGGGGCTCTCGTAACTGCACACTTAGCACGTGTTGCTTTCTAGCAATTATGACGTCAGAGATCAGTGAAGCCGGCTGAAGGAGTAAGAAGGTGAAGCTGGGGATTTGCATGACAATAACTGCATCGTATCAGCACCAGCATCTGGTTTTGTTTGCAGGATGCAGTTTTGGAGAAAAGCCTTATACAGGGATTAATATTTTTTTTAAAAAAAAGGCTTATTAATGTATTTGAACATCAGATTTACAGCGAGAGGGAAAGAGAGATCTCCCCATGGTTCACTTCCTGTATGGCCAGCGCTGGGTCAGGCTGAAGCCAGTAGCCAGGAGTTTCTTGTGAAACTTTTGCAGCTTTTCCCAGGCCATTAGCAGAGAACTGGATCAGAAGTGGAGCATGTAAGACTTGAGCCAACACTCACATGGGATGTTAGCCTGGCAGTGCTGGCTTTACCCACCATACTACAATATTCCAGGGTTTAAATTTTAGTAGATTTTTTTTAACAGCCTGTCCCTTACAACTTCAAAATACTTAATAAAACAGAAATGGCCAGAAAGAGCTCATTCCCACTTCTATAGCAAAAAAGCTTACTTAAGGGCAGGGGAGTAGAGGGCATTTCTGTGGTATAGTAGGCAAAGCTCCCGCCTCTGGCCTCAGCAATCCCATATGGGTGCTGGTTCGAGCACTGGCTATTCTGCTTCCAATCCTACTACTTGCCAAGGTCTGGGTAAGCAGCTGAGGATGGTTCAAGCACTTGAGGCCCTGTACACACATGGGAGACCCAGAAGAAACTCCCGGCTCCTAGCTTTAGATAGGCTCAGCCCCAGTCATGTGGCCACCTGGGGAAGGAAAAATGGATGGAATCTCTCTCTGTGTGTCCAACTTTCTCTCTGTAATTCTGGCTTTCAAATTAAAAAAAAAAATCTTTCTTTCTAAAAAAAGGCTTAAAAATATGAGCTAAGGGTGGTAACTCATATGCTATGGTCTGTGACATATATCATATTTGAATCTGAGTGTTTTTTTTTAAGATTTATTTATTTATTGCAAAGTCAGATATACAGAGAGGAGGAGAGACAGAGAGGAAGATCTTCCGTCCAATGATTCACTCCCCAAGTGAGCGCAACGACCGGTGCTATGCCGATCCAAAACCAGGAGCCAGTAACTTCCTCCAGGTATCCCACACGGGTGCAGGGTCCCAAAGCTTTGGGCCGTCCTCGACTGCTTTCCCAGGCCACAAGCAGGGAGCTGGATGGGAAGTGGAGCTGCTGGGATTAGAACCAGCGCCTATATGGGATCCCGGGCTCATTCAAGGCGAGGACTTTAGCCGCTAGGCCACACCACCAGGCCCGAATCTGAGTGTTTTTAATTGCACTTTTTATGTAGAAAAAAATGTGGGTCTGCGGAGGAATGTTTGGCCAAGCAGTTGCAATGCTGATTAAGAAGGTATTGATTTTCAGGGCTGATTATAGACCAAGTGGCTAAAGTCCTTGTCTTGCATGCACCAAGATCCCATTTGGCCACAGGTTCATATCCTCGCTGCTCTGCTTCCCTTCCAGCTCCCTGCTTGTGGCCTGGGAAAGCAGCCAAGCATGGCCCAAAGCCTTGGGACCCTGCACCTGCGTGGGAGACTCAGAAGAAGCTCCCAACCCCTGGCTTTGGATCAACTCAGCTCTGGCCATTGCAGCCAATTGCGATGTGAACCAGCAGCCTGGAGATCTATCTCTGTCTCTTCTCTCTGCAAATCTGCCTTTACAATAAGAATTAAAAAAATAAATATTTTTTGAAATAGTTTCACATTAAAAAGAAGGTATGATGGCTTAAACCATGGCTTGCCACACCATCATCCCATGATCAAGTCCTGGCTGCTTCTGTTCAACCCCTTTGCTAACACAGCAGCAGAAGATGGCCCAAATGCCTGGGCTGCTACACCAACATAAGAGCCCTGGAAAAAGCTCCTGGCTCCCAGCTTCAGATCGGCCCAGCCCTAGCTGTTGCAGCCATTTGGGTAATAGAGCAGTGGATAGAAGATCTCTCTCTCTGCCCAACCTTCTCTCTGTAATGCTGCCTTTCAAATAAAAATAAATAAATAAATCTTTAAAAAGAAAAGAAAAAGCTACATCTCATATTAGAGTACATGGCTCAAGTTCTGGCTATTCTGTTTCCAATATGGCTTCCTGCTAATGTGCAGCCGGGGAAGGCAGTGATGATGGCTCAAGTACTTGGGTCCTGCGACCCACATGGGAGATCCAGACCAAGCTCTAGACTCCTGGCTTCATGTTGGCTCAGCCCTGGATATTACAGGGCATTTGAGATAAACAAGTAGACAAAAGATCTCTTTCTCTTTCTCTCTCTTTCTCTTCCTTCCCACCCCATCTTTCAAATAAAATCAAAATAAATAATAAGTCCAAAAATATAATTTAAAATGACATTTGAATCATCTTGCTGACAAATGCAACAAACGCCTCGAGAGAGAGTCTCTGAATCTTGAAAAATTCCCATCATGTTTTTATTTTCTTTAAAGGAGATTTCAGATTAGCCTAAAAGTCAAGCCACAAAGCCGAGGCTGGATATTCCCCAGAGCAGCAGCTTCTGTATTTGCTTCAGGATTTGCAGTTTTGCAGGATCATTCACTTAATAAATAGCAGCTGAGCAGAAAAGAGGCTCTGCAGGCAGAGTTTCACAGCCATGTGCATTTCCAGCCACCACTGTCGCTGCCAAGCCATGTGCAAAGCTACAGGATAGGTAACATGTCATTCCACACAGAATAGAGTAGCCAGCACAGGTACATGAGTTTGTTCCCAGACCTCAGATATAGAGGGAATCAGGAATGGCTGCTCTGCAGGACCCGACACAGTGGCCCAGCGGCTGAGATCCTCGCCTAGAATGCCCCGGGATCCCATATGGGCACCGGTTCTAATCCCAGCTGCTCCACTTCCCATCCAGCTCCCTGCTTGTGGCCTGGGAAAGCAGTCGAGGACGGCCCAAAACCTTGAGATCCTACACCTGTGTGGGAGGCCTGGAGGAAATTCCAGGCTCCCGGCTTTGGATCAGCACAGTACTGGCCATTGCAGTTACTTGGGGAGTGAATCATGAGATGGAAAATCTTCCTCTCTGTCTTTTCTCCTCTCTTTATATCTGACTTTGCAATAAAAAATTAAATCTTTAAAAGAAAGAAGCAAAGAAAGAACTGGCTGCTCCTGAATTTGAAGAAAGCTATCCTGTTCTCTAAGGACTCCTTACAGATGAGGTGAGTCATAAAAAAAAAAAGAAAGAAAAACAACAACAACAAAAACCTCACAGACTCTCCCCTCATTCTCCTTGCTGCTCAAGAGCAGGACCAGAAGTGGCATGAAGATCCAATGCTATCACGTGTGTGAAACAGAAACACTAAAAAAAGTTCTTTATATTTATTAGTTTATGCAAGGACAGAATGACAGAGAGAAAGAAATAAAGAGATTCCATCCAAGTGGCTGCTATAGCCAGGGCTGGGCACAGGAACTCCATCTGCTTTTTCATGTGCATGAGCTGGGTCCAAGCCCTGAGGTCAGCTTCTATATGCTTCCCAGGTGCATTAGCAGGGAGCTGGATTAGAAGTGAAGCAGCTGGGATTTGAACCAGTGCTACAATATGAGATAGTAGCATCACAGGTCAAAGTTCAACCTGCTGAGCTTCAATGCTTGCCCCAGAAATACTAGGGTTTTTATTTCATTCATATTTTATTTATCCTTCAAGCACTAACTTGAATCTGTGTCATCCATGAAGCCAATCTTACTCTGATCTTCCTCTCTATAGCCAGTCCAACACTGAGTTCTCGTAGCCTTTGCTTGCCTCCTCCGAGGATGCAAGAGCCCATGTTGACATCTCCAGCCTACCCATGATCTCAGACAGCCATGTCACATAGTTCTGGCCAATGAGATGATAAATAAGAGCACCGGCAGGGGATTTTTTAAAAGAGATTCCTCCTGACGAAAGGCATGATGGAACACTAGCTGGGACTATCCCTTCCCCTTCTTTTGTCTTTGGTTGCAGTGGTAATAGCAGCCCACTTGGGACCACAAGAGGAAGGCCAAGGCAACAGAGATGTGGGGACAAGACCAAGAGCCTTGGCATCATTACCGTTGAACCAAGCACCTGTGTCTGTTCTCAGATGGAACAAAATCAGCTTCTATCTGGTTGTGCTCTGGTTACACTATTGTCACTAGTTACTTACATTATGAAGCATTTCTACTCTACTCCACTGCATAAATGAAACATCCTACACAGCCCTGTGGATTTTTTTAAGTGACTTACTTATGTGTTAGGAAAAGCATTGGTACTGTGTTATTTAATCACAACAACCTTACAAGAGTAATATGAGGGAAGTACTACTGTCCCAGTTTACAAGCAAGGAGCCTAAGGCATCCAGAGGTTAAGTAGCTAGTGCATACTGCTACACTATACTGCCTTGAACTATTATTTGACATAATTTTATAGTCCTTGAATGCAGGAACCAGGTTTGTCAAAAAATACACTTGTCACATGGAAAATGGGTATCTACAAAATCCAGTGCCTGTAGAAGCAATTGCTGGTGTCACCTCTGGCTCACCATACCTCTGTCTGAGTCCTGTACCCCATTACTACTAAATCCTCAGTCAGAAGAGTCATCTTCAAATCTTGGGCTGGGTACATTGCATGGACAAGGTTGATCTTTTTTGCCACCACAGGATCCCAGCAGAGAGGTGGGCCCAGCAGCAAGTGGCTCTGTAGCTGCAGTGGGCAGGATGGAGTGTCGTGCTGAATGGGACCATTAAAAGCCATCAGCATGTTAAGGGACGCTAATCAAGGTGCAGACACCAAATCTTCTATTGCTTGTATTATCTCAGATGGACGACAGCATTACACATGCACCACACCGTTCAGGAATTAATTTTTTGTAGCACGTAGTTGTGACAGAGGGAGCCCGTGGTTCAGCTCCAGAATTACTAACTTAGAGGGATCATGTCACAACACCCAACATGCAGTGGTTCATGCTTTTGGTTAGGTAATGGCTTGGTCTCCAGTCATGAAAACTGCTATTCCCACACTGACATCAGGCAGTTAAAATGAAGTATAAACTCCTCTAGCCTTAGAGTTAGCAGTAGTGTGTTGAGATCCTATCCCTGCAGCTTAGCTGTGCTACTTGGAGCAAGTAACCACCTCATCTGAGCCTCAGCCATGAAACAGTGGGAGCAATACCTGCCTTCTAGTCCAACAGGGCACTGGACATGTGTCCTACTAACACTAAAGCACCAAGGGGCGGGCATTGGGTACAGTGGTTAAGATGCAGCCTAGGACGTCTGCCTCCTATATCAAAGTGACCTGGCCTTGCTCCTGACTCTAATTTGCCACTGATGTTCACCCTGGAAGGCAAGCAGGTGATGGCTCTACTTGGACTCAGCAGGAAAACGCAGATGGAGTTTCAGTTGGACCAAGCACAACCCCAGGTATTGAGGACACTTGAGGAGTGAACCAATGAATGAGCGATTTCACTGTTTCTCTCTTAAATAAACACACATGAGGGGTCACAATCACTTACCATCACCTCCGACACTAGGCACTACACTGCCAGTCCTTACCCAGCATGCACCAGCATGTATGAGATGAACCTCCAGGCTTCCTGCCTCTTGTCTGGGCTATAAATGAAGGGACTCTCCAGGATGCCCGTGTCCAGGGTGATCCACTGTTTCTGAGGCTTCCACACAGCATAGTAAATAAACACAGCCAGCTGAGCAGGAGGGGAAGACATGAGTATTAGACACAACATTTCCAGAGAGCAGCCCCCTTCAAGCCAGAGTAAAAATGTTGCCAAACATCTGCTCCCAAGTGGACCATCCCATGGCATGGCTCAGGAGACAAGAGGAATTCAACGCCTCCACCACCCTTCACTCCAGGTAGACCCGACTGATTGCACGGGTGAGGGCCAGTGCCAGCCCAAGGTGGGAGGACTCCCCACTTCTGCTCTCAGACACCCTGACTGCCAGCATTTTTTTCTCTACCACCCTCCTCCCCATTTAAATTTCCACTGCCCTCTTCTTCCCATCCCCATTACTTGAGCCTCCGCTTGGGGCTGAAGATGAAGTTGGTACTGGTTTCCAAAGACTGAACAGGGGAAAGGGGAACTTTCTAAATTTATACTGGACAAACCTGGCAAGCGCTGCCTTAAGTGGTAAAAGTCAATGTCATGCTGATGTCCCACGAATGTCTTCTAGTCCCCCAATGCGGCCTGGTGAGAAGGACACTTCTCCTTTTATGGGACTCTTTGCCCAAACCCATAATTTTAATGTACTCATGGACAAAACATCAGACAAACCCAGACTGGGGGACAGTCTATAGGATGCCTGCCAGTTTCCCTCAAAAACAAACAGAAACTATTACAGATCACCAGGCAGACTGTGGAGAGCGGAGCCGCGCCTCAAAGATGGTGCTTGTTGACCATTGCTTCGTGGCACAAAGGTAGTAAACAGGTTTTGGGAAGTTACTGAGGATTGGGCCGAGCACGCAGGGAAGCTACATGACCTAAGTCATGATTGGTGTGCTTACCACATGATGTGAGGAACTGTGTATGGATTGGTTTGTGTAATGTAAAAAGGTCTGGGTGAAAAATAGTTAATGAAGAGATTCTCCCAGGCGTGCTTCAAGGCTAGGCTAGAGCTATCGCTATCACTTCAAGGCTATTGCTAGCTAGCACTAGGCTGCTTTTGCTTTACTGTAATAAATCTTACAAGTGCTGTAACTGCTTTCACTTTGACACAACGCTTGAAGTCTTGACCAATAAATTTTTTTAAGAATCTTTACTGTATCGGGGTCTTGCTCGCGGGAAGAGGGACCCCGATAGCAGACATGACAGCTAAATGCAGTATGAGACCCAGGGCTGGAGGGCATCAGTGGAATGGAAGGAGGACATTCATGGAAAAGTGGCAAAACATTACAAAGTCTAGAGTTCAGTTACAGCAGTAGACCACGGCCAGTTCCTCCGTTCTGATCAAACGTACTACAGAAAATCCAAGATAGTCACAGTGTGAGAAATGGGAGAGGGGTGCAGGAACCCTCTGTGTGATCTCTGCAACGGAACTTGCTCCAAAATAAAAATCTATCTTTGACATTTTTTTCAAATGATATTTCTGTGAGAAACAGATGTCTTAGCACCTGTTCCGCAACCCTTTCACAGACCAAGTGCCTTCTGAAAGGTCCTCATTGTCTAAGCACTTGTGCTTTGTGCCATGTGACCTTATCCATTCTTTTCCAAGCCCTCCTCCCCTGCTCCCCACAGATGACTGTAGCACCGAGCACCCCAGCTGATCCGGGGGAGGAGCAGAAAGGATGCCAAAGATGCTAGCGACTTCCCAGCTGGCAGGTCATCTCACCAGAAAATTGCAGGCTGCTGACTCTAATGCCCCCAACCCAAACTGCTGCCAAGAATGCCTCCATACAATCATTTACAGGAGCCCCTAGAGGCTTGATCCCAGCCACAGTTAATTTACATGTCAATGAGACATGGGTACTAGGTGAGTCACATGTTTTTTCAAGCTAGGTAATTCTGCAAGGATATTTTCTAGATGAGATTAGCAAATCAGTTGACTTAGTAAAACAGACTGGGTGGACCTCATCCAATTAATTGGAGACCTCTTAGTGCGAAAAGTCTTTCCTTCATTAGAAAGAGAGGATTCTGGCAGTAGGTGCCTTCAGACTTGAACTGTAAATCTTCCTGGATCTCCAGCCTGCTGGTCATCTCTGTAAATTTAAACTTTCCAAACCTCCACAATTATTGAAGCCAATTCCCTAGAATAAATCTCAACCCCTCACTCTGCCTATATGCATGTATATACATATATGAGTGCACATACATACATTATTGATTATCTTCCTGGACCAGATTCTGATAAAGAAACTGAGATATAACTGGGAACCCAGAGGATGACAAGATGGACTTCTTATTGCCCCTGAAATCCCTTCCCACGAGCAGCCACTTTCTGCCAAAACCTTTATGAGACACAGAAGAGAAGCTAAGTGCTGTGAGACTGCTGAGGAGCCTGGTCCTGGTCCAGATGTAACCACATGCAAGTTACCCCACCTCGCTCTTCTGGAAAACAAGAGGGCGAACAAGACCAGAGTCTGAAAGCAAACACACTGCCCAAAATGCCATCATTAGACAGTCACAATTTTTTCCTATGGAAACTCTAAGGCCACTTCTAACTTTCCTAAACATACGGCCCAGATTGCCCTCGCCAATCAGTCTCAGTTGGTTCATGAGGAAAGGCAAATTTGCAGCCCCAAGATTATCTGATTTCTAAAGGTCCCACCAGATAAAAATGAAGGCAGCCAGAAAAATTATAGTCACTGGTAGGCACATGGATCTTAATCCCTGGTTGGCAGTGACCAGAAGCATAGCAAAGACAGAAGGGGTGTGGTAGAGGCTCCATATGGGCTGTCCAGTACCTACTGAGCTCTTTCCCCCACCCATTCCCAGTAACCCCTGGTTTCTTTGCAGTCTCTCAGTGGGGCCAGGGACCCCCACCCCTGCACCAGCACATTTACCTCAGCCAGGCTGATGGAGATGATGAACAGAGGTGGTGGGAGGCAATTGGCTCTCTCCAAGTAGTTTCTCCGGACCTTTTCAGGAAGCATCCACTTTGAGACGATCCTGTGCACCTTCCTAGCCTTGCGGGGGGCTGTATCAGCTCCATCCTCTCTCATTCTCTGCTCTTCCTCCTGCTCTTCTTTCCCCACTCTGTCCATATTCAGATTGACACTCTCCAGCTCCAAGTCATGAGCAACAGCCATTGTCCACCTGAAAGGCACACACAAAGGGCAAGGAGAACAGGCTCTGACGGTCTTCACTCAGGCCATTCTCTGCTGGGCTCTCTGGTACAACTGCTGGCATCCAAGGTTAAAACAGCCTAAACTTCCTAATTGGGCCAGAAGTGTTTACTATTTTAAAAAGCATGAGCCATGGATCCAGATGACTAGGACCGAACATGACTCTTCCACGTATCATGTATAAGGAACCTTGGGAAAGTCACATTGTCTAGCTTTCAAATAGTATTGTCTGGGACCAGCATTGTGACATAGTGGGTTAAGTAGTTGCAAGGAACACCGGCATCCCAAATGAGGGCCAGTTTGAGTCCCAGCTGCTTTGCTTCCAGTCTGGCTGCCTGCCAAGCACCTGGGAAATCCGTGGAATACAGCCCCAAGCGCATGGGATCGTCCCACCCACCTGGGAGACACAGATAGGTCTCTGGCTTTGGCTTGACTATAGTGGCCATTTGGGGAGTGAACCAATGGATAAAAGACCTCTCTTTCTCTGGCCCTCCTTCTTATTCAGTAACTCTGCCCTTAAATAAATAAATAAGTATTTTATGGAAAAATGGAAAAAAATATATATGTATACCTTCTCAAATAATACTAAAATACACATAACATAAAACTTCTGTTTTAACCTTTTATTTCTGTATTTGAATTTTAATAAATATGTATTATGTATAATAAAACTTTAAAGATTTAAAATAAAATAAAATGTACAACTCAGGATTAGACATTTGAGCTACTGGTTGTTAAGACACAGGCTTCCCATAACAGAGATAATGGCAATACATAAGTAATGGAGTTCCTGCCATCTAAGTGAATGATCTAAGCAGAGTCCCCAGCTCTGGTTCTGGCTCAGCCCTGGCTGTTGTAGGCACTTGGAGAATAAACCAGCAGATGAGCGCTTACCCTCCCAAAATTGTTCTCTCTCTCTCTCTTTCACTCTCTCTCCTTCTCTGTCTCTCCCTGCCCTTTCTCTCTCTGTGTGTGTGTGTGTGTGTGTGTGTGTGTGTGTCTCTCAGAAAAAATTGTTTATAAATAAACAATCCAGTGGTTTGGAGTGTATCCACAATGTTTCAACCATCACTGCTATTTACTTCCAAAACATTTTTGCCAAAATCTTTTTTATCTCTCCAAAAGCAGCACACCCATTGAGCAGTCTCATCCATTGCCCAACCTCGCCCCTGGCAACCACTAGTCTACTTTCTGCCTCTGTGGATTTGCCAACTATGAATAGCCCATGCAAACAGAATCCTAAAATGTCATATGTGATCTCTTATGTCTGGCTTCCTACACGCAGCATAATATTTTCAAGGTTTATCCTGTTGTAGCTGAGCCAGCATTTCTTCCTTTTTTATGCCTGGATAAAATTACATCTGTGGCGACCAGAAACCAGAGCCCATGTGGCATATCAGGCACCACAGGTGGCGGCGTGAGTCACTGAGCCCCAGTGATGGCCCCCAAAGTTTTTGATTAAACATCTGTCTTCAATTCTTTGTGGGGAGAGACTTAGGAGTGTAATTGCTGGGCCATACGTTAATTATACATTTAACTTACTAGGCAGCCCTCAGATTCAATTTTAAAGTGTAACAAATGGTGGCACTCATGCCATAACATTCCTGGAAAGATTTGAGACCAGGCTTGCAAACCGCTCGAAGCATATCTGGCAGGTAGTGAAATACTCTGTAATTACTAGTTACTATTACGAACGGGTAGCAGGCATGTGGAAGGATGGATACACAGGTGAGATGGAGTTAAACCTGCAGCCTATTTTCAGGCACAAAATACTGAGAGTCAGATCAAATCCAACTTAATTTTAAATTCATCTCAATAGGCAGGTGCTATGTGACAATAGGTTCCATTCGAGAAATTGAGGGAAGAAGAGAATTCCACTTGTGATTTTCTTCTCTACAATCACTGTTCTCAAAATGAAAACCTCTTTCCTCCGCAGCATCTTTCACCCTCCCACTTACTCACCCCTCACGGTTAGACACGTGAGCTACAGATAGAAGCATTTTAATTTCCCTTGATTACTGATGATTATTTCTAGCTTTTTCCAAGTCTCATAATTAACAGAACAACAGTATGGGCTTAAGATCATCAGATTGTCATCATCAATATTAAAACACTTAAAAATCAGCTCTAGTAGGGATGATTTACACCCTATGAACAAGCCCTACTATAAATTTAAATACCACCCAGGATCATTTTACAAGACAATAAATTTCCACATTGCTATCCATCCACAGTATATGTATAAAAGAAGCTAGAAAAGTGAGGGCTTTCCTTTCCTTTCCAGATTTCAAAATTTCCAGAAACTTTACCACTGCAACAAGTCCAGTTTAGGTATGTCTGGGAGCCACAGTTCCCACCTAGAATAGAGGCATAGCCTAGACTCATTCGGCACACATGTCCTGGTCCTTGGCAGATGCAGTGAAGGCACTGGGCCTGTGGCTGCAGCTGCTTTGGGCACCAGCAACAGACGAGCATTGGTAGTTACTGGTAGTGTTTTCTTTACACCTCTCTCCTCAGTCCACCACCATCACGCCCAGCACCCATACCCGTCTGCCTGGTTCCCTGAGGACAAGGGTCACTGACAGCACCTGGCGCTGCGGTGTTCAGAGGCGTTCTTTCCACTCTCTGACATTCCCCATCTCTCCCACGGCTCAGCTGCTAAGTGCAGCTAACCACCTTGGCAATCTCACTGATCTATCTAGCAACAGTAGGAAATGCTGTTGGCATCCCACACTTACTGAGCCCGTGAGATGGGTGAAGTGGAACAAGAGGTGGAAACTGATGTGAGCTTTTTGAAGGCCATGGGGGCACAGCTATACAGTAGAAAAAGGAGGAGCCTCCTGCGTCTTGAACTCTACATTTCAAATGTATCTGAGCAAGCACGCATGCTGTGTTTCAAAGATGCTTAGTGCAGAACTATTCAGAGCCATGGAAAATGATAAGCAACCTAGAAAGAAAGACTTCAGTGGAGTGGCTGTATTTTCTGCTCATTCTGATTCTTGGGTTCTGCCACCTGCTCACCAGCACGTCCACTCTTGGGATCAAGGATTCCTTCACTAGGGCCTCACGAAGCAAGTCTAATCTGAAATCATTAATTTTGTTAAGGTGTGGTCTGTAAAGCTATTCAACAGACTCTCTAGGTCAAAGGTGAGATGCAGAGTCTTACAAGCACTCTGAGAGTATCAGAACTTTTGGAGACTCAGCTAAACAGAGCAGCCACCTCAAAACAAAACAAGGGCACTGATTCTCACACACTAGTCTCCCAGAGACATGAAAGTGTTCACAGTGCTCCAGCGATTTCCTGGATCCCCCTAGGTCATGGGTCACCAATAGAGTGGATTTTGACTGCACTATACGGGCTGCTTTCTTACACAGTAAGCAAAGATCACATGGGTTTCTTAAACTTTCTTGAAGGTTACCTTGATGTTATACCACAACTCCCACTTCTTATCTGCAGTGAGCTGCTGAAAAGCCAAACACATGTGAATCAAAACTGGGTGGCACTGCAGTGAAAGTTCTCATCCTGCTGGTAGGCAAGAGATGGGACAAACTGTTAGACTACCTCTAATCTTCTGGTTAATAGTAGGGATGGGGTCCGGGATTGTTGTGTAACAGTCAAGCTGCTGGCTGTGACACTGGAAACCTTACGTGCACGGGTTCGAGTCCTGACTGCTCACTTGTGACCTAGCTCTTGGATGATGCACCTGGGAAGGCGACAGAACATGGCCCATGTCCTTGGATCCCTGCACCATGTGGGAGAGCTGGAAGAAGCTCCTGGTTCCAGCCTTGCCCAGCCTTGCCCAGCCTTGGCTAATGTCGCTACTTGGAAAACAAACAACAGAGAGAAGATCTCTTACTCCACATAACTCCGCCTTGCAAATAAATAAATACCTGGAGATATTCCTCACAAGTGGTAAGAACCAAAACCCTTCCCCTCATGACTAGAAAGTATCTTTTGAGTATTTTAATAGAAAGCTTTTTTATTGAGGGCCAGCATTGTGGCACAATGGGTTTTGCTATTGCCTATAACACCAGCTTCCCATATGAGCCCCAGTTCTGATTCCATCTGCTCCATTTCTGATCCAGCTCCTAATACATTGGGAAAGCAGCAAATAATGGCCCAAGGCCTTTGGCCCCAACCCCTCCCCCCACAGGAGCTTGTAATGGAGCTACAGGCTCCTGGCTTCAGCCTGGCTGGCTTGGCGATTGAGAACTTTTGGGAGTGAATCTGAGGAAGAGCTCTGTCAAACAAGTAGAAAAAACAATTTTTAAAAATATTTATTTATTTATTTTAATGGAAAGGCAGACTTACAGAGAAGGAGAGATGGAGAGGAAGATCTTCAATCTGCTGGTTCACTCCCCAAGTGGCTGCAATGGCCAAAGTTGTGCCAATCCGAAGCCAGGAGCCTCTTCCAGGTCTCCCATGTGGGTGCAGAGTCCCAAGGCTTTGGGCCAAACTCAACTGCTTTCCCAGGCCACAAACAGGGAGCTGGATGGGAAATGGAGCAGCCAGGATATGAACCGGTGCCCATATGAAATCCCAGCACATGCAAGGCGAGAATTTAGCCACTAGACCACTGGGCCGCTCCTCCCCGCCCCCCCCCCCCCAAAATCTTAAAAACAAAACCTTTCTACTCCCTAATCTTGCCTGTTGCAATCAGCATTGCTTATGTTACAAATCACGGAGCTAATGCATTAGCCAATCACTAGAAGGGCAGGACTGTGCTCATTTGACAAAAACAGATGTCTACCTTTAAATACAAATGTAGAAAAGGAGATTTGCTTAGCAGACCCTTGACATTCGTAAGGGAATTTTCCAAAGACCTTTCAGAGAACCTCATTTACTCCCTATCACATGGTGCCTTGCAAAATTACACTGCAAATTTATAACCAGAAAAGTTGGATTTCATTTCTGTCCTTAAATGATCCTGTAAGTACAAAAGTAAAGCTACTCGTAAAATTAG